TTTTGGAATTTACTGAGGCTCTTTTTGTGGCCTAGTATGTGGTCTATTCTGGAGAATGTTCCATGTGCACTTGAGAAGAATGTATATCCTGTTGCTTTTGGATGTAGAGTTCTATAGATGTCTATTAGGTCCATCTTTTCTAGTGTGTTGTTCAGTGCCTCTGTGTCCTTACTTATTTTCTGTCTGGTGGATCTGTCCTTTGGAGTGAGTGGTGTGTTGAAGTCTCCTAAAACGAATGCATTGCATTCTATTTCTTCCTTTAGGTTTGTTAATACTTGTTTCACATGCTGGTGCTCCTGTGTTGGGTGCATATACATTTATAATAGTTATATCCTCTTGTTGGACTGAGCCCTTTATCATTATGCAATGTCCTTCATCTCTTGTTTCTTTCTTTGTTTTGACGTCTATTTTGTCTGATCCTAGTACTGCAACACCTGCTTTTTTCTCCCTATTGTTTGCCTGAAATATGTTTTTCCATCCCTTGACTTTTCGTCTGTGCATGTCTTTGTGTTTGAGGTGAGTCTCTTATAAGCAGCGTATAGATGGGTCTTGCTTTTATATCCATTCTATTAGTCTGTGTCTTTTGATTGGTACATTCAGTCTGTTTACATTTAGGGTGATTACAGATAGGTATGTACTTATTGTCATTTCAGGCTTTAGATTAATGGTTACCAAAGGTTCCAGGTTACTTTCTTACTATCTAAGAGTCTAACTTAACTCACTTAGTATACTGTTACAAACATAATCTAAAGGTTCTTTTCTATTTCTCCTCCTTTTTCTTCCTCCTTTATTCTTTATATATTAGCTATCAAATTCTGTACTTTTTGTCTATCCCTTGATTGACTTTTAGGATAGTTAATTTAATTTTGCATTTGCTTTGTAATTAGCTATTCAACCTTAGGAACAGTTCCTTCTATAGCAGTCCCTCCAAAATAGACTGTAGAGATGGTTTGTGGGAGGCAAATTCTCTCAGCTTTTGCTTATATGGAAATTGTTTAATCTCTCCTTCTAATTTAAATGGTAATCTTGCCAGATAAAGTAATCTTGGTTCCAGGCCCTTCTGCTTCATGGCATTAAATATATCATGCCACTCCCTTCTGTCCTGTAAGCTTTCAGCTGAGAAGTCTGATGTTAGCCTGATGGACTTTCCTTTGTACGTGATCTTATTTCTGTCTCTGGCTGCTTTTAGCAGTCTGTCCTTATCCTTGATCTTTCTTCCCATTTTAATTACTATGTGTCTTGGTGTTGTCTTCCTTGGGTCCCTTGTGTTGGGAGATCTGTGGATCTCCATGGCCTGAGATACTATGTTCTTCCCCAGATTGGGGACGTTTTCATCAACTACCTCCTCAAAGACACTTTCTATCCCTTTCTCTCTCTCTCTTCTTCTGGTATCCCTATGATGGGAATGTTGTTCTGCTTGGATTGGTCACACAGTTCTCTCAATATTCTTTCATTCTTAGAGATCCTTTTTTCTCTCTGTGCCTCAACGTCTTTGTATTCCTCTTCTCTAGTTTCTATTTCATTGTCTCCTCCACCGTATCCAACCTGCTTTTAATACCCTCCATCGTGCTCATCAATGATTGGATCTCCGACCTGAATTCATTCCAGAGTTCTTGGATGTCTTTCCGTATCTCCATTAGAATGTTGATGATTTTTATTTTGAACTCCCTTTCAGGAAGTGTCACTAGGTCCATATCATTTAAATCTTTCTCGTGAGTTGTATTAATAATTTTACTCTGGACAAGGTTCCTTTGGCGTTTCATGTTTGTATATGGCGCCCTCTAGTGTCCAGAAGCTCTATTCTAGAGCTGCTCCACCCCTGAAGCAATGTGGGGGTTGCAGGGGAGTGGTATTGGTACCTGGGGGGAGGAAAGATCTGTTTACTGCCTCCTGGCTCCTGTCTCCACTGCCAGAGTCAGTGGGCCGAGTGCACAGGTATAAACTTTTGTCCCAGAGCAGCCGGATATGGATCCCTGCTTTCCACAAGTGGCCGGAATCCCAGTCTCCCCAGGAACTCTGCCTGTATTAATTTTCCAACCCAGTAGTCATGCGAGTCTCATGAAAGCACCATGAAATGTAGGTTTGTGCTCCCAGCGCAGATCTCCAGAGCTAGGTATTCAGCAGTCCCAAGCCTTCCACCCCCTCCCTGCTCCGTTTCTCTTCCTCCCACCAGTGAGCTTGGGTGGGGGAGGGGCTCAGGTCCCACGGAGCCACAGCTCTGGTACATTACCCTGTTCGCTGAGGTCTGCTCTTTTCTCCAGGTGTGTGCAGTCTGACTCCGTCCTCTTTCCTGTTGCTCTCTCAGGATTAGTTGCGCCAATTAAATTTTCTAATTGTATGCAGTTTTAGGAGGAAGCCTCTGTCTGCCTCTCACGCAGCCATCTTTAATCCTATTCCAGACTCTGGTCTTTTTAAGGCATCTTTGAAAAGCTTTTTATGTTAATGTTATTTGTTATGAACAGATATAACAGTGTTAGCTGTCAATAAATATACAAATCAATTTAAGGTTAAATTTAATTTTTGCAGTTTGTGTTGTTCCTACTTCCTCTAAAGAATATGTGTAGTCTATGACTGTGTTTAATGACATAGATATAAGAGAAAGGGAACAAATCCTTGTGATAATTCCAGCCATTTTAATTACAGTGAGAACTTTATTAAATTACTCAAGTATAGGAGTTCATATATTATTGTGGTTAAAGGTTTCATTGATACCAAAACATAAATAGATAACCAAAATAGCAGTTCTCTTAATTCTACTGTTATCCTTATCTAAAAAATAGAATTAATCTTGAGTCTTTTAGGTACACTTAATTGTCTTAGTATATGTAGCCTTTTTTTTTTTAACTATTCATAGTGTTTGAGTTACCAATCAGGTAGTTTAGTTCAGACATCCAGTATTTTTATCATGTTAATTTAGCTTGTAGTTGCTGTACTTTTAACTAAGAAGTTAATCTTTATCACCAAGGAAGGCCTAGTCCAAGGTGGATGATAATGGGTTCACAGGTAGTTGTAATGCAAAAAATATTACCATGCATTGGCAAAAACTGGTGTTAATGGAAATAATACACATCCATTGAAAGCCCCTTAATTCTGAACTCCTGCGTGGTCTTGATAGCTTTAACAGAAGCTTCCTCTATGGTAAATTGGTGAATAAGAATACCCATGAGAATAATGAAATGTTCTGCCTAAAAAAAAACTGGGGGTTTCCTAAGAAAACAGTAAACATAATGACATTCAGTCCTCTCGTGTACCATTTTTTGTTTTGTGTATTTTTCTTCTAAAGGCTCTTCTTGAATAGGGATTCCTTAGTATCTTTGTTATCTGTAGAAATCTGATCTTTCAGTTTATTCTTAACTCTTCAGGTTAAAGCCTTGTAAATTGGCTTAATTTATCACCTCACGCTTCCGCTAATGCTCCTCACTTCAAGGTGGGTTATTTTAAAGGTTATATGGATTGAATTTAGTGTTTTAGAATTTCATGACAACATTGGTTGTCTTAAATATATGAAAGAACCATGATTGCATGTAAAAACCAAAATCATGCCTAAAGCACAATAGAACAGTACTCATAACCAATGTTGGGGCCATTGAGGATTTAGCTGACCAAGGTATGTTTGAAAACTTGTTATATGTGCAGTGTCTAACATGAAGTGTTTCTTGTCTATTTTTTTCCATTTCTTGTCTTTTCCAAATCCCACCCCCATATCCCCTCCCCATTTTGTAGGAGGCCCTCTTCATTGCTCGCTTTAGTCCTCCAAGCTGTGGTGTGCAGGTGAACAAGCTGTGGTACAAGCCTGTGGAGCAGTTCATCTTACCAGAGGTACAGAGTCTCATAGAGGACTAGAACAGTGCAGTCCTTCATTGGCCTGGCTGTGTGCCCTTAGAAGCAGGCACTGGATACTTTCTTGTACTAGGACAGCTCTCCGAGTGGTAGATTAGTCAACAACTATGGATGCACTGAAATGTAGCACTCTGGATTCATCCCTCCAGAGGGCTCCATGATGCCACAGAGGTTCCAAAAACCACACTACTTGAAAAGATTACATGTTACCATGATTTATTTAGTGGAATAGAGAACTGCATGACTGTCCTAATGACCATGGATAGTAGTAGGTATGAATTGATAGACCAAACCCAGATACCATTTGAATAAGTCAAGTAGTTTACTTATCTGAAGAATGAGAGGAGGAGGAAATGCAGACAAAATAATAGCCACATTTCAAAGATACATAAAACTTCTCCAGGTTGTGAGAGATGTCTGAAAACATAATGGTCATCTTCTGGGTCCCTGTAGGTCCAAATGAAATAGGTAAGTTCTAGAGACTACTTCTCCTATTAGATGCTCTCATCCGTCCTAGAGCAACCACAACCTCGTTGCAGAGTATTACACAGTTAGGCACACCCAGCTTTAGACATCAACGTCAGCCTCTCCAGGCTGTTTCAGTCTAGTCTGAGTACATTCCTGAGCTCAGTGCTTGGAACCACATTACGGGTCAGTGTGCTGAGCATGGGTGTGTGTCACTTTAGGTCAGCCCTAATAGAGTTCATCCTGCAAGAGCAAAGCTGTAAAGGTGCGGAAGCTAGACAGTTGACCAGCCCACTCACCAACCAAGAAGTGTTTTCCTTTCAGTCTTGTGGGGTGCTGCTCACGGTATGCAATACATTTTATAAAATGCTCTGGATCTTTGGAGTTAAGTACTAGTTGTTGAAGCTATAAATGTTAATTCTGTGAATGTCAAAGGAATCTCCTTTTTTCACCTGTGTATGAACTTCTACCTAGAAACAGTTTAAATAAAAGGAAAACTAAAACACATTGGAAAAAATTCCATTTTCTCAGTGTTATAAAAAAGACTGTAGTGAGCATCCTTATACCTTTCTTATGTCTGCAATAGCTTATTTTCTTAGAATGAATTGTTGGTTTGAACTTTATACACATTTTTAAGGCTTATGATTTCTTTCTGCGGGTCAGTTTAGAGTGTGTATCAATTTGAGTAATCAGCATTATATAAGAGTGCCTATTTTCCTATGCACTTTTTGTTCTTAAAATTTCATATGTAAACTTTTTTCCTTATTAAATGAAGTATGTACCATCAAAAGTATTTTGTACTTTTAATTATAAGTAGTGGCTTAACTAAGTAGTATTGGCCAAGTGTTGGATCTCAGTTTTTGAATGAAGCCACTTTTTGATTTGTTTATTCATTTACTCAGAACTCACTCACCTATTTACTTATTTATTTATTGAGAACTTAGTGTGTGCCAAGCACTGGGGCTGTATGAGGACACAATACAGTGATCACTGACCTTAAAGCAGTTTACAGTCTAGAGGGGAGAGAAGAGGTAACTGGTATTCTACCTAACTTACTGTTTGCTGGGCACAGTAACAAGTACTTTTCCTACATTAACTGGTTGGTAAGATCCTTTAGGATTGAAGCAAGTCATCGTGAGAGTCCTTCCTTTCTACCAAGAGCAGCATGGGCAGAACCTCAGACTTTGTGCGAATCCTGAAGGACAGTCATGTTGTTCTGAGGAGCACTAGCATTGTTAGGTGGTTCCAGAAAGGTCTGAAGTCTGAGACAAGGTTGATTTTCACAAAAGATTTAGTGAGGATCCGCATGATTAGGGAAGAGGAAAACAATGCATCTGGGAGTATGTGAGGGCACATTTGGGTGCAAAGTCCTGAGTCAGGCACCTCAGGGTGCAGTGTGGGTGAGTTGGGATCCCTGCTCTGCCACTGGCTTTGTGACCAAATCTAACATACATAGTCTCACTGGGTCTACCAGTCCGCTGCAAGACAAAGAGGCTGCCAGACACAGTTCAGACGGTTATTCTAGGAACCACATGATTTAACACATGGAGAATACTTAGAACATGGTGCCACATGGGAAGCAGTCAGTAAATAAATACATGCTGTCCTTATTCCTGCTGCTGTTGTTCTGGATTTGGGAGGGGTCCTGTTCTTCAAGAGCAGTGTTCTCCAACTGGGGCAGTATGACCCCCAAGGGACATTTAGCAATGTCTGGAGACACGTTGAGTTGCTGCAGCTGGGTGGGGGGGGGGAGTACTGGTGGGTGGAGGCCAGGAATGACCGTCCTGTAGTACACAGAACAGCCCCACACACTTATTGTACCTGAAATGTCATTGCCAAGGTTGAGAAACTTTAAGAGGAGTGTCACAATGTGGGGCACAAAGGAAGAAAACAGGCTTTGATACTTGAGGCTATTCACAGTTTTACAGAGTCTGTCTGCCCCATTATCTCACATATAGTGTGTCTTACAGAAAGAATTATACATTTTGATTAGTCCACAAAAAATAGTAATTTCCCTTAGAAGGTCCTTGTTATTAGGAAATACATGTTGAAGATGAAATGTTGTATAGTCAAGTAGTTTACTTATCTGAAGAATGAGAGGAGGAGGAAATGCAGACAAAATAATAGCCACATTTCAAAGATACATAAAACTTCTCCAGGTTGTGAGAGATGTCTGAAAACATAATGGTCATCTTCTGGGTCCCTGTAGGTCCAAATGAAATAGGTAAGTTCTAGAGACTACTTCTCCTATTAGATGCTCTCATCCGTCCTAGAGCAACCACAACCTCGTTGCAGAGTATTACACAGTTAGGCACACCCAGCTTTAGACATCAACGTCAGCCTCTCCAGGCTGTTTCAGTCTAGTCTGAGTACATTCCTGAGCTCAGTGCTTGGAACCACATTACGGGTCAGTGTGCTGAGCATGGGTGTGTGTCACTTTAGGTCAGCCCTAATAGAGTTCATCCTGCAAGAGCAAAGCTGTAAAGGTGCGGAAGCTAGACAGTTGACCAGCCCACTCACCAACCAAGAAGTGTTTTCCTTTCAGTCTTGTGGGGTGCTGCTCACGGTATGCAATACATTTTATAAAATGCTCTGGATCTTTGGAGTTAAGTACTAGTTGTTGAAGCTATAAATGTTAATTCTGTGAATGTCAAAGGAATCTCCTTTTTTCACCTGTGTATGAACTTCTACCTAGAAACAGTTTAAATAAAAGGAAAACTAAAACACATTGGAAAAAATTCCATTTTCTCAGTGTTATAAAAAAGACTGTAGTGAGCATCCTTATACCTTTCTTATGTCTGCAATAGCTTATTTTCTTAGAATGAATTGTTGGTTTGAACTTTATACACATTTTTAAGGCTTATGATTTCTTTCTGCGGGTCAGTTTAGAGTGTGTATCAATTTGAGTAATCAGCATTATATAAGAGTGCCTATTTTCCTATGCACTTTTTGTTCTTAAAATTTCATATGTAAACTTTTTTCCTTATTAAATGAAGTATGTACCATCAAAAGTATTTTGTACTTTTAATTATAAGTAGTGGCTTAACTAAGTAGTATTGGCCAAGTGTTGGATCTCAGTTTTTGAATGAAGCCACTTTTTGATTTGTTTATTCATTTACTCAGAACTCACTCACCTATTTACTTATTTATTTATTGAGAACTTAGTGTGTGCCAAGCACTGGGGCTGTATGAGGACACAATACAGTGATCACTGACCTTAAAGCAGTTTACAGTCTAGAGGGGAGAGAAGAGGTAACTGGTATTCTACCTAACTTACTGTTTGCTGGGCACAGTAACAAGTACTTTTCCTACATTAACTGGTTGGTAAGATCCTTTAGGATTGAAGCAAGTCATCGTGAGAGTCCTTCCTTTCTACCAAGAGCAGCATGGGCAGAACCTCAGACTTTGTGCGAATCCTGAAGGACAGTCATGTTGTTCTGAGGAGCACTAGCATTGTTAGGTGGTTCCAGAAAGGTCTGAAGTCTGAGACAAGGTTGATTTTCACAAAAGATTTAGTGAGGATCCGCATGATTAGGGAAGAGGAAAACAATGCATCTGGGAGTATGTGAGGGCACATTTGGGTGCAAAGTCCTGAGTCAGGCACCTCAGGGTGCAGTGTGGGTGAGTTGGGATCCCTGCTCTGCCACTGGCTTTGTGACCAAATCTAACATACATAGTCTCACTGGGTCTACCAGTCCGCTGCAAGACAAAGAGGCTGCCAGACACAGTTCAGACGGTTATTCTAGGAACCACATGATTTAACACATGGAGAATACTTAGAACATGGTGCCACATGGGAAGCAGTCAGTAAATAAATACATGCTGTCCTTATTCCTGCTGCTGTTGTTCTGGATTTGGGAGGGGTCCTGTTCTTCAAGAGCAGTGTTCTCCAACTGGGGCAGTATGACCCCCAAGGGACATTTAGCAATGTCTGGAGACACGTTGAGTTGCTGCAGCTGGGTGGGGGGGGGGAGTACTGGTGGGTGGAGGCCAGGAATGACCGTCCTGTAGTACACAGAACAGCCCCACACACTTATTGTACCTGAAATGTCATTGCCAAGGTTGAGAAACTTTAAGAGGAGTGTCACAATGTGGGGCACAAAGGAAGAAAACAGGCTTTGATACTTGAGGCTATTCACAGTTTTACAGAGTCTGTCTGCCCCATTATCTCACATATAGTGTGTCTTACAGAAAGAATTATACATTTTGATTAGTCCACAAAAAATAGTAATTTCCCTTAGAAGGTCCTTGTTATTAGGAAATACATGTTGAAGATGAAATGTTGTATCTACATTTTACTTTCAAGTATTTCAGTAACAGAAAACTATGTGTGTATATAGACAAAGATAAGCAAATGTGGCCAAATGTTAACAGTTAGTGAATCTAGGTGATTTGAGTATTAATTTAAACTATCCTATAGGTTTGAAGTTTTTCAAAATAATAATTGGGGTAGGGCAAAGTGTTACCTTCCTTGCCAGTGTTCAGAGAGTATATGTGGCAGGAGGTCCTTAGGTACTAATGAGGGGAAGTACTGAGCCAGAACAGTAAGTGCCTGTGTCAGTTAAGATTTGTAATGCCTATAGTCTTATGATCTTTATTTCTCTTTAAGCTGAATTGACTTGATTTTTCACTACTTCTGGGCAATATTTTTTTCTTTTAAAAACATGCAGTTATTTAACAGTGGGTATCCTCGGGGAGTGTGTGAGGGAACTAAGATTATGGAAGATTTTTATTTCTTTTTTGTACATTTTCTAAATGTTTTGTAATAAATATAAACTTTATAAACAAATTTTTTAAAATAAAAGCTTCTTTGCTCTTACACAAAAGGGAAGATTTTTGTTGAAACTGTTTAATTTTACATAGCTAGTCATTTTTGCTGCATCAAACCTAATTGGATTTATTAGCACAGAAAAACGATAGTGATTCTGGCTTGCCTGCATCTCCTCAGCAAAGAATGAGGAAGAAAACAGATCCTTTATGCCATTGAGAGGGAGAAATAGATGATTTGTTCATCATCTTATCCCCTCTACACTTCACAGTCTACTAAGAGGAACATGTCAGTAGTATAGTTTGTCAAGTAAGTGAATCTTATAATGTTTTCATTGTGTGACTCACTAAAGCATAAATCTCAGTGGGGTCACACATTTAAATGGAGACTGCTGCATGTTTCTCTTAAAATATTTTTCTAATTTCATATTCTTATTAGTGTGATTGAAATCTGAAACTGATTTCAATAAAAAGACTATCTTTGTTCACGTGAGTCACTCGAGACATGGTTACTATTTACACATTTCTTATGAAAGTTGAAATTCTTTAGCTGTTTGGTTACTTTTCCAATTTACAAGAAATTGTTAATGGTTACAGGCACAAAAGCACTATAGATTAAAATACTCTGTTGGTTTGGATGGCAAATTAGAAATATGACACAAAATAATTACCAGCATGTGAGAGGGGTTGCATATAGTTTTGCATATGTTATGGGTGAGATGATTTATGAGAGCTCATTTTTCTAACCTATACCATGCTGTTTTTCCAAAATTTTATTTTGGTTTGTGATCTCAGCAGGGAATCACCATAATTAAACAAGTCCTTTGGCACCTGAAGAGATTCTTTTGTGATTACTTTGCATCAGAGTAAAAAGGCATGTGAGAAAAGTGCGAAATAGAAATTCAGCTGTGGCCAGGAGCAGGTACAGGAGGTGGGGAGAACACATAGCTCTTCCCTTCCCTCATAACAAAACTGGTGGTTTATATCAGTTAACTGAATAAACCAAGATCATTTTAGGGGCCAAAAGTTTTTCTGGTAATTACTCAATTGAGTCAGCATTGGTGATGCTGTAATCATGGCCCAGTCATAAACCAGATGAAGTTGGATGCCAGCAGGAACTGCTGTGAAGTCAAATGCGAAGCAGCAGTTGAACAGACAGGTTGTAAAATTACTTGTTACTGTCATAGTATTTTCCAGATTTGTAGTCTCAAGGTGAAGCATTTTACTTAGTCATTATAGCTTTTACTTTTGGTATGGTTCATTTCAAACTGCAGTCACTAAAATTCCCAGTGACTTAACTGTCCAAACTCCAGAGGACACTTTTTGTCTTTACCCTGATTGATTGCAGTTTTCTGTTAGCTTATATGATGATGCACATTCTTTCGGTTCAGCCACATCTGGCCCACAACTTCCTCCCTAATTACTTCATTATCTCCCCTTTTGCATTCCTCTTAAATACTAATCATTAGAATTTGATATCAGCCCTTTATTTTACTCATTCTTCCTAGGCAGTTTCATCAATTACCACCTGTTTGCTAATGGCTGTTAAATCTAACTACAGCCTAAATTTCTTATAAACTCCGTTCACACTTCAGCTGCCTATTGACTTTCTCTACTTGAACGTCCCTAATAGTATCATCTCCCTTCTACTGATTTTCATCTCTTCCTGTGTTTTCAATCTTGGGTAATAGTATCTCCTTTTCCTTAGGCACCCAAACCAGAATCTTGGGATATAGCCTCACCTTTCATATCCAAGCACTTATTTACTAAATCCTATCAGTTCTTTCTCTCACATACTTGGTGTCAGTCCTTCCAAACTTTAACACTACTAAAGTTTTAGAAGAAAATTAAGTATACCAAAAGTGAGAAATTGTTGCCACGAGGAAAGCACATGATTGACCCAAAGCCAGCCTCACAGTTAAGGTCTAGGACTTAACTTTTCAGGTCTTGACACTGACCTTCCCATTAGTTCACTGAGAGATGATCAGATTCTCATTGGATGACACTGTGTAAATTCACAGAAGATAAGTGTATAAAACCAGAATGTCAGTTCATTTATCTTTAATGAGTGTTAGGTTATTAGAGTTAAATCTGAAAGAAGGATGAGGTTCATTAGATTTGAAAGCTTGTGACTCCTATGTAGGAACCTCCTCCTTGGTATGTCAGGCATCTAAAAAACTAAATCTGAACAGGGTTTAGTTCGGTCACTGAGAATTTGATGATGACAGTGGGAGGTGGATGTTTTAGACAATGAGCTCATTCAGGTAGAATGTGACTAGAATGATTTATATCTTCCAATGGTTGAACTTTTCTCCCCCTGGACATTGTTACATTGCCAAAATTTCTCTTAACCCAGTATTCCTATAGTAGCCAGTTGATGCATTGTTTTAAGTATTGATTTTATTTATTAAGCTTCAATTTTAGGGCTCTTCTCAGTTATTAGAAACATTGTTTTCCTTGAAGGATTTAATTAGTTCAACTCAGAGGGCAGTCTTTTTTTTTTTAGATATAATTGACATATAGATTATATTATATTTAACGTGTACAGCAAGAATTCAATATTTGTGTATTCTGTGAAATAATCACCACAGTGAGTCTAGTTAACAGCAATCACAGTTTGTAATATTACAAACCTTTTTTTCTTGTGATGAGAACCCTGAGGATCTACTCTCAGCAACATTCAAATATACAATATAATAGTCACCATGCTATACATAACCTCCCCTATACTTACTTACCTTATGACTGGAAGTTTGGTGCCTTTTGACAACCCTTCACCCCTGGCTTCTGGCTACTCCAGTATGTTCTCTGTATCTAGGAGTCCAGTTTTTGGTTTTTGGCTTTTTCAAACTTTATACATATGAGATCATAAAGTACTTGTTTTTCTCTGACTTATTCACTTAGCATAATGCTCTCAAGGTCCATCCATGTTCTCCAGTAGCAAGATTTCTTTTTTCATGGCTGAGTAATATTCTGTTGTGTACATATAACACATTTCTATATCCATTCATCCATTGATGGATACTTAGGTTGCTTCCATGTCTTAACTATTGTAAATAATACTGCAGTGAGCCTGGGGGTGCAGGTGTCTTTTGAGTTAGTATTTTTGTTTACTTCAGATAAACACCCAAAAGTGGAATTGCTGGATCATATGGTAGTTCTATTTTTAATTTTTTGAGGAACCCCCATACTGTTTATTTCATAGTGACTATACCATTGACATTCCTGGCCGGTGACCTGGGAGCCAAGGCCTGAAAACTCCATCTTTTTAAAGTGGCCAGGGCCTGAGAATCCCAATGGATTGATACTAATGAATGAAATAAAATATGAATCACAAGTTGAGGATCAGCGGGAATTTGTGTCCAGACAGGAGTACAGGAAGTATGGAGGGGCCAAGCTTACCAGCTCAACCCAGGGAACTATACGGCCCGGATCCAGGCCACCTCTCTCTCTGGGAATGGGTCATGGACAGATCCCGTGTTCCACTACGTCCCGGCCAAAATAACATATGAAAATTTCATCCATCTGATTATTGCTCTGCCGGTTGCCATCCTGTTCATAGTAGGAGGGTTGGTTATAATGTGCGTCTTCCACAGAAAAAGAAATAGCAGCAGGCTGGGGAATGGAGTGCTGTATGCTTTTGTGAACCCGGAGTACTTCAGCACGGCCGATGTGTATGTTCCCAACGAGTGAGAGGTTGCCTGGGAGAAGATCATGAGCTGCGAGCTGGGGCAGGGCTCCTTCGGGATGGTATACGAAGGAGTTGCCAAGGGCATGGTCAAAGACAAGTCCAAAACCAGGGTGGCCATTAAAATGGTGAACGAGGCTGTGAGCATGTGCGAGAGGATTGAGTTCCTCAATGAGGCTTCCGTGATGAAGGAGTTCAACTGTCACCATGTGGTGCAGTCGCTGGGTGTGGTGTCCCAGGACCAGCCGAACCTTGTCATCGTAGAACTGATGATGCGGGGGGATCTCAAAAGTTACCTCAGGTCTCTGAGGCCAGAAATGGAGAATAACCCAGCCCTAGCACCTCCAAGCCTGAGCAAGATGATCCAGAAAGCTGGAGAGATTGCAGATGGCATGGCATGCCTCAATGCCAACAAGTTTGTCCACAGAGACCTCACTGCCCGGAACTGCATGGTAGCCAAAGATTTCACAGTCAAAATTGGAGACTTTGGTATAACGAGAGACATCTATGAGACAGACTATTACTGCAAAGGAGGAAAAGGGCTGCTGCCCGTGTGCTGGATGTCCCCTGAGTCCCTCAAGGATGGAGTCTTCACTCATTCTGACGTCTGCTGTTCGCTAAGTGGCAAGGAGCCCTTGAGACAGAACACCAGGAGCCTGGACATTGCCAGAAAACTTCACCTCTCTCTGCTTCTCCCCTGCCTGCCTTCTGTCATTTGATCTTTCATAATAAGTAGATATTATGTGAAAAAAAAATTCCTACCAGAAGCACACAACTGTTCCTTTTTCTTCACATCCTCGTCAGCACTTACTATTTCTTGCCTTTTTATATTAGTCATACTAACAGGTATGAGATGATACTTAACTGTGATTTTGATTTGCATTTCCCTGATGATTAGTGATGTTGAATACCTTTTCATGTTCATCTATCTGTTGGCCATCTGTATGTGTTTTACAAAATGTCTATTCAGATCCTTTGCTCATTTTTCAATGAGTTTGTGTGTGTGTGTGCTATTTGAGTTGTATGTGATCTTTATATATTTTGGATATTAATGTCTTATCTGGTACCTGATTTGTAAATATTTTCTCCCATTCCATAGGTTGTTTTTTCTCTTTGTTGATGGTTTCCATGGCTCTGCAGAAGCATTTTCATTTGATGTAGTCCCACTTCTTAATTGTTCATGTTGCTTTTGCTTTTGGTGTCAAATCCAAAAACTTGTCACCAAGACCAATGTCAAGGCATTTAATGCCTTTGTTTTCTTTTAGTTTTATGGTTTCCAGTGTTACATGCAAATTTTTAAAGCATTTTGAGTTAATTTTTGTGTGTGATATAAGGCGGTGGGCCAGCTTCATTCTCTTGCATGTAGCTGTCCAGTTTTCCTAGCATCAGTTACTGAAGAGCCTGTCCTTTTCCTGTTAATGTAATCATCAGTCCTTTGTCATAGTTTACCATGTAAGGGTGGGTTTATTTCTGAGCTATTTTGTTCCATTGATCTCTGTCTGTTTTATGCCAGTATCATACTATTGAGATTACTATAGTTTTGTAGTAGTTTGATATCAGGAAGAGTAATGCCTCCAGCTTTGTTCTTTCTCAAGATTGCTCATGTTCTTTTGTGTTTCTATACAAATTTTAGGATTGTTTGTTGTATTTCTGTGAAAAATGTCATTGGGGTTTTGATAGGGATTACATTGACTCTAGATTGCTTTGGGTAGAATGGACATTTTACCAATATTAGTTCTTCCAACCCCTGGGAACATAGTGTTTTTCTATTTATTTGTGTCATCTTCAATTTCTCAGCGGACAGTGTTAATTTCTAAAGATAGGGGCTTACTTCTTCTCACCTGGACTTTTGTAATAGTTTTATTCCCTACCAACCTCTACTATGATGCAATCCTGCTATCAGAATGACCTGTCTAAAATTGCAAATATGATTGTGTCATTTGTGTGCTTGCAACCTTGAATGCTTCCCCCTGGCTTCAAGGTAAAGGACAGATTCTACCATAGCAGACACTGTCGACCTCCGCTTACCTTTTACCTCTCTCCTTTCCTCTGCTTTGTGTTTCATCGATACTGAACTACTTTACTTAACATTTTAACATTTTTCTGATTGGCAGTGTTTCAAGTTTTTGGCTTTTGTTGTGCTATTTTATCTGCCTTCTACTTTTCTGACTCAGATGCCTTCTAGACTTAGCTTAGCTCTCACAGTCCTTTGAAGTTCTGTCTGACCTCCCCAAGCATAATGACTTTCTGTCGTTATTGAACCTGTCGTGGCAAATCATGACTATTCGAAGGCATGGGCTGTTTCATGGGTCTGAATCTTCAAACACATAGCCCACAGCCTCTGGTACATAGTAGACACTCTAAAGTTTTTAAATAATAGCTCATGTCCAAAAGAAGATTGGCCCAAATTTATTATGTTTACTTATATGTTTAATTAAAAAATTTTTTCTTGATTATAAAAGTATGAAAGTAATACTTCACTGACAAAAACATAGAAAGGTAAAAGAATATGATCACCTTCCTCTATTCCTCAATAATTAGATGTATTTCTTCCTGGTTTTTTTTTTTCTTCTCTGTATATATCTACTTGTGAGAATGTTTTTATTTTAGAATGGAGGTTTAACACCAAGCCCAATACAGAGTCAAGGCCACCAGGGAAAGTACAGAAATAATTAGCACCTGTTTCAGAGAAGAAAACAGAAAGGGGCAGTTCATTTTCTGTGTTCTTTCTAGTGGTGATAAAGCTGTTTTGCTGAGCAGAGACTGTGCTATACATGTTACCTCTAATCCTCAAAACAGCCTTGTGAGGTAGCTATCATTTTCTGTTTTAAAGATTAGGAAACGATGACACAGGTGTGTCTGCAAGGTCTGTTCTGAGGATCCTTAGGTTTCTGCAAATGACATCAGGAGGTTCACAAATAATGAAGATGAAGGATACATTAATTCAGTATAAAGTGACAAACTGCCTGAGGAATCCAGACTCTCAGAGTTTTTACCTATTTTGGTAGAGAAGAGAGATATATTGCTTAAAAAAGAGCTTGCAAATCACTGACATAGCTCCTTGGACAAATTCAATTTTGTATGGTTTCCTTATAATGCTAGCTAAATGAGACATTACTGTAAGTACTTTGTCTATTTTAATACATGAAAAATTTTAAGAATGTGAAAGCTGTGTCTTTTATATCATGCCTTATACCAAAATTAATTCTAATTGGTTTTGAGTCCAACATTGTTATGTAAATATTTTTGAGTGCCTGTTAGGTGTCAGACCATTCTAGGTGTTGGGTTGTGGTGGTTGGTAACACAGACAAGATCCCTGCTCTAGTGGTGCTTGCATTCTAATGGGAATAGTTAGTTTGACAGTAGAAAAATAAACAAGAAATATCAGTGATAAGGGCTGTTAAGAAAATAAAACAAGTTGATGGGATAAGAGAAATTGGGAATTGGCTGCCTCCTATTGCATCTCTGGAGAAAGCTTCTCTAAGATGATGACAGTGGAGTTGACCTGAGCAGCAACAAGGAGCCAGCAGAGCACAGATTTTAAAAATGGAAATCAAAGAGAAACTGGAAGACATTAGAATTTATATGCATATCAAAGCTTGCCAGATTTGACAAGGTAAAAACTTACGGCTTTTGAATTAAAAAAGAAGTCATTACATGGCAAACCATTCTGGGAGAAAAAAAATTATTTTTACCATATAAAGTACACAGGATTATTTATTAAAGGTTCACATAGAGTAATAAGAAAAACATAAAACTCAGTAACTAAATGGCAAAGAAGCATGACAAGGCAGTTCTCAGAAAAGACTATATAAATCATAAACATGACTAGAAATCAAACACAAATTCAAAAATCTACATTAACTTAAACTTCTTTTATTAATATTCCATACTTGAAAGAGTACAATGAAACTGGCATTTTTATAAATTGCTAATGACCTATAAGTTAGTATTATTTGCTTTTGGAAAACAATTTGGCACTGTGTGCCAAAATCCATTCAAAGTATCTCTTTGTTGTCCCAGTAATTACACCTCTGGGAATTTATTTTAAATAACAGTTCTTGAGGAAAAATAAACACTTACACTGAAAAATGCTTTAGTAAATATTTAGTTACCATCCAAATGTTTGACAGTAGGAAATGCTTGAGTGAATTAGGATGCATCCACTCAGTGGCATGTTATACATACATGAAAAAGAATGACAACTGCAATAACATAAGGAAATGCTTTTGACACATAGGAAATGACAGCAGCATGCAAAATTCTCTCGTTAACTTTTTTTAGATATGCATAAAAAAAATGACTCAAGGATATACACCAAAATGTTAACAGTGGTATGTGAGAATTGTGGGATAAAAATCTTAACTTATAGGTCTTAGAAAAAATTTAATTTTTTCTTTAAAAACTTAAAGCCTAAATGTTAACAAATGAAGAAATCCACTCAATGTTCATCTTTTCACAAAAGAGCTTTGAAGGTACAATCGTGTGGGAGAGCCAAGACCTCCAAGGCCTTGTGTCAAGAAACCTCCACAAAGTAACAGTAAATGATGGAGGAGGAGTTCTCAGAGTCATTACAGTAAGTCACCTTTTTTTTTGTTTTGTTTTAAGGTTGTTTAGCCATTCTTTACCATTTTTTTAATATGTAAAAGTGTTTTTAAATTTACTTTTACCAACCCAGGCAATATGGAAAATGAATCTCATGTTTTAGAACATAAGAGTGTTGTTTACTCACCACAGTAACGAAGGCAAATTCGTGTTCTGCAAGTTTAACACCAACGTTAGTGAATATACAGTTTTGCCTAAAGATTGGTGCCTCTTAAAACATAGGGTATTTTATTTCTCATTAAGTTTTAAGTTAACATTCTTTAAGAACACTTGCTCAGTAGTACTCAGAATATTCACTATCTCACCTTGATAGTAAGATGTTAAAGTGCTTCATATAAAAAAATAATACAAAAGTTGATTATTTGCTTTCATTTAGATTGCTCAGATTTGTGCATCTTGTATTTTTCATTTATTCATATTTGCTTCAGATTTATAACAGTTTGACACATAATTTTCTCAAAGTTAAATGTAGGGTGATAAAGAAGGTTCAGGAAAACTTAAAATGATTTAAACCTTAAATAAAGAAGTGGTATTTCTGGTGGTGTTACAGACATAATCTCCCATCCTCCTTGATGCTCTGATATAATTTAGGACAGCACTTGGCATTTAAATGCACAAGTTTAGTATATTTTCATAAAATAATTAACTATCCACATGAATTAATTCCTGAAATTGAAATTAATATTACATAGTATGTTATTACCCATTCGGATGAAAACATTTACTGTGCACCTATTGTAAACTGGGCATATGGTAAGCAAAGCCAATTGCTGGCCCATCATAGATCTTATACATCAGTAGGGAAGAAAAATACTAAACAGATAGATCCACAAATTTATATGTAATTACAAACTTAGCCTTGTAGGGCATGATTAGGATTTCATCCTTTATTATGAGATGTCCTTTATTTAAGATAGAATGTTTTATGGAATTTAATTATAGTTTTTTATCTTTTCAAGGCAAATGTCTTTAATATCTTGCCTTTTTTTCTATTCATAAACTTAAAAATACCCAAAATGTGCCAAAATTCTATAGTATGGAGTTGGGTTACACAAAAGGAAATCAGGTCACTTCTAAGTTCAGGACTAGGTTCAAATGTAAAGACTTTAAATGATCCACTTGGGGGTAAACATAGTTTTAGAAGGCTAAAGACAGCTAAAACACTCAGCTAACCTTAAAAAAAAAAAGTTAGGCAACTTAGCATATTCTAGGAAACCCCACGTGCAAATACATAAAAAGTTTTCATCATAACACATAGAGCTGAAAGTTTTCCTAAGTCTTGCTCCTTTGGCAGCAAGTGATGTAAGAAAATATTAAAACCAAGCTGTGACCTTTTAGATGGAAGTTAAACAAAAAGTACTGTCAGGTTCTAAACAAGCTAAAATAGTATAGAGTATACAGTTAAAAAAAGCATGCTATCTTCTATGGAACTACAGTTGGAATCAACAGCATTCACCTTTAGTAATTTCCTCCACCAGTTACAAACTATATTTTAAATTAAATGACAAGTGAGAACAATTACCTTGGGACTGTTTTTTCATTAGCCTTAAAACATTGCTTTGTATACAGTATAGCTCTGCTGAAAAGATCTGTTCAAAAGAGGAATAGCAAAGCAGTAGCCCTCTTGATAGGTGAGTGTATAGCAGAAATGCCGTTCACATGCTGAAGCATTACTGTGCAGCCTGGTGCAGCCCACAGCAGCTGAGTACAGCCAAGAGAGGTGCTGCACACATAGGTGAAACACCTCACTCTGAGTAAGGGCATTGGGTGACTTGTAAGGTGGAGAGAGGTAAATCTCTAACAAGAAAAGGTTGTCCAGTCCTGAGAGAAAGGACTGCTGCTTGCTGTTGGCACCATGGTCTCTAGCCAACTACAACATCAGTATTCAGTAGGGCTCTGTCTGAACTGTTTGTTTAAAGGGGCTTTTCTCTGTATGGTAACTTGAAAATGTGCCTGGATGTATTTGGACTCATGGGAATTTTCAACCTCTAAGAAATCAAAGGTAGTAATATATATATATATATAATTTTTTTTTTTTTTAGTAATATATATTTTTTTAAGTCGGGTTGGGATTTAAAATAAAATTGATATTTGTACAATTATGGTAGCATGTCCAAGAATATGTTATTCTGTGTAAGCTGGAATTCTCAACACTGTATAGACCACTGTATACTTGACCATTAATGTTGGAATTAGGTAAAAATGAGAATAATAGTGAAGTCATCATGATAGTGTGAGTCTAGTGCACCAGCATCTAAGACTGAGTTATCTGCTATGGAACTGGATTATGAATTTTGCCAAATCTATTTTAAAATGTAAGAAAGGTATTTTTCATAATAAAACATTGAGCACTTCTTTTCCTGTTACCAGGTTGGAGAGGGCACATTGCCTCATGAATTCATGGAAGGTGTGGAGGGAGTTGCAGGTGGTTTTATTTATATTATTCAGGGTAAGTTGTCTGGTTGAAAGTTGAAAAGTGTACTGAACTTCATGTACCTAATCTTATTCTATGCTTTGACATTAAAGGTGATTTTTTTTGTCACTTAAAATATATAATTCACATGCCATATAATTTACTCTTTTAAAACATTTGAATCAGTGTTGTTTAGTATATTCAGAGTTCTTTAACCATCCCTGCTCATTCCAGACCATTGCCATCACTCCAAAAATAAACACTATTCATCCGCAGTCACTCTTCATTCTCCGCCATCCCCAAGCCCCAACAAGCACTAATCAATCGACTTTCTAACCTTAAATATTAAGGATTTATTTCTAGATTCTCAATTTTATTGATATGTATATGTCTGCCCTTATCCCAGTACTACACAGTTTTGATTATGTAGCTTTGTAGTAAGATTTGAAGTCAGGAAGTGTGAGTCTTCCAACAAATGGTTGTTTTCAAGACTGTTTTGGCTATTCTGCGTCCCTTTCATTTTCATATGAATTTTAGGACCAGCTTGTCAATTTCTGCAAAAGAGCCGGCTGAGATTTTGAAAGGGGTTGCATTGAATGTATAGATCATTTGGGGGGTATTGCCATCTGAAAATTAAGTCTTTAATCCATGAACATGGAATGTCTTTTCATGTATTTAGGTATATTAAATTTCTTTCAATTATGTTTTGTGTTTTCAAAGTACAAGTCTTGTACTTCTTTTCTGTAATTTATTCTGAAATATTTATTCCTTTTGATGCTATTGTAGTTGGAATTGTTTTTTAAATTTCATTTCCATATTGCCCATTGCTAATGTATAGAAGAAGTACAGTTGGTTTTTGTATGTCAATCTGTATGCTGCAACCTTGCTGGACTCATTTCTTAGTTAATAGTTTTGTGAGTGCCTTAGGATTTTCTGTATACAAGATCGTATCATCTGAATAGGATAATTTTGCTTCTTCCTTTTCAGTCTGGATGTCTTTTATTTGTCTGTTTGTCCTGGCTAGAATGTCCAGTAACAACATTGAGTAGAAGTGGAGAGACCAGACATACTTACTTATCTTGTTCCTGCTCTTAGATGGAAAGTGTCCAATCTTTCACCATAAAGGTGATCTTAAAAATTAATGACCTTGGACTTTCTTGGCCCGTGTGTGGCTGTGGCTTTGGTCTGTCCCTACAGCCAGGTGGAGGGCTCTACAAAGCTGCTGGACCGTGCCATGTAGCTATAGTGGGCTTAGTGCTGCTTGTCTGTCAGAAAGAAAGCCTTTTTCCTTGACCCCAGGTAAGCATGGTACCTTCTAACTCCTCTCCTGTCCCTCTGTCAGAGATGGTTTAGTGGACTCAATTTCCCTCCTGCTCATGTATACTCTCTCTCCCTGTAATGTGAATGTTTAAAAGTAGGGTCTCTATCATAGAATTGCTTAAATGCTTCTCCTAATATATCTCATTTCAAAGAAGAGTTTGTTAAAAGGATTTCTTAAAAACTTAGGGTCAACACATTAGCTTAAAAATTTCTTTAAAACCCTGTGAAAGGATCAGAAGTGGCTAATAAGTTTGTCTTCTTGAATGATGTTCTCATAAATATCCACATCTGTAAATTCCTGAAATTCTGTCAGTAATCTCTGAGAGAGAAAAACTGTGATGCCGTTGCTATTGGTCTCATCCTCAGCACCACTTATGGAACCAAGGGCCCAGGGAGCTTTTATCTGATCCCTCAACGCTCTGCAGACCATGGTTCTTGTAGAAAAATTGGGACCAAGCTTCCCTGCAGCCTCCCAGTGACTAGGGAAAGCAGAGGCCAAATTCTGAGGGGCAAGGCTTCAGGAAACTCCCTTGATAGCAGTGTCAAGATGGTGGGTTGGACCACTCTGAGGCCACTGCATCTAGTTGGAGAATGCAAATGGGCTGTGGCTTTTTTCTTATTTCTACCATCTTTGTTTATAGTGTTTTCTCATAGAAGTATTTGTATTTTCACATTATCCCTAAGGGTACACTGGAACAGGTACAGGGATTTTGCCCACAAACTTGCTATTAAAAATAGAGATTGAAGATTTAGGGATCCTTAATCCAAGTCCAGAGATTTTTCATGAACTGTGAGATCACTGCCACAGAAGGCATCAAACTTAGCTCACCAAGAGGCTGTCTTACAGTTCAGCACTGGGGAAAACTCCAACTAGGAGGTCAGGCCAGTTTCTTAAAAGCAGCTCATGCTTGGGGGCTGGGTCAGGTATAGCACATCATCTGACTTTAATGTATAGCAAGCAGCTCCCTTTCTTTTGCCAGATAACTCAAGTATGTACTACCAAGAGTCTTTAAAAACAAGTTTGACCAGCCCTTGAGACTTCCGGCACTAAAGTGTTCTGTTGGCTACTGTGGAACAGCTACTGTGCCCTCAGCAATTGTTTGTCATAATTTTTCTTTCACCAAGGTTAAAAGAATAAGTTTAGGTTAGGAAAATTCCTTTCAAAAAAGAGTGAAATAAATCAAAATTTCAGTGAAAGAAGTTAAAATGAATAGATATCTTCTCATGTGCTGGATACATCTGAAAATCTGAACATAAATTAATTTTTTTTAATATGAGGATCTAAATCTAAATGATTCAGTAGAATCATGTGGTACACAAAATCTTAAATTTTGTTGGGCATTAGCATCTCTGGCTGAGCCCTATCTCAAGCTACAGAGTTAAAATCTTTAGGATTAGAGCTCAGATACCTATATTTTAATGTTTTCTATATAGATTTGATGCCTCCAAACTTTGAGAGGCTATAAGCTATATGATTCTCTTAAAGTATGTCAGTCAGATCATCAGATTTAAAATACACACAGGTTACTATATACTTTCATTTTCAGATTTATGCAATATAAAACAATGTGTAATTTGTTGATCTAAAATGTCTTTAATTTCTGCTCTCATTACCATTTTCCTTTAATTGCAGTTTTGTAACACTTTCCTTCAAGTGTTAAATTGTATATATTCATCCTTATCTTTAAAATGAAAGGATGTTACAACAGAATATGAGTTAAAAGAGACCCAAGATAGATGATCTAGGCCTGTGTTTCTCAAAGGGTGGTCTCTGGTCCACCTCCATCAGGAACACACCAGATTCTTGGGCCCAACTGCAGACCCGCTTTAGGCTTGAGAACCACTTATTTGGTCTAATTCCTCCTTTTATAGGTGAGAGTACTGAGGCCCAGAAACTTGTGGCTTGTGCAGTATCTCACAGATAGTGGCAGAGGCAGGAACTGAATGTAGATCTTCAGACACCCATTCCCCAGTCTTTCTATTTGCATTTACAAAAGGTGCTAAATAGCCTCCTTTCCTCACCCCTCAGCCACTCATTTTATTTTTCAAAAATTTCTCTAATTTTATTGAGACATTGAGAAAATCCTGCCCTAGTAAAAGAATTGGTGCCTTAAATCCCCCTAGAATCTGAGGACATTGCCTACACAAATGTGACAAATGAATATCATAATTGTGCCAAAAATGGAGTACTGTAAGAAACAACCATGTACTTACAGCTCAGAATTAACAGGTGTCTACATTTGGTCATGTTTGCTTCCCCTTTTTTTTTTTTTTTTTTAAAGAAATAAGGCACTACTGACTGGTACAGTTGGAGCCCCCTTCCAGCTCTCCCTGGCTCTGTTCTCTCCTTTCCCCTTGGAGAGGATGCCTTTATCCTGAAACTCAGGTGTACCCTTCCTATTCTTATTTTTCAACTTTCTGCTGTATATGTACTTATCTTTAACAGTTTTGATGAGAGGTTTCTGTCATTGATATGTGATGTCATTTTGTGTGTATCAATTAGCAATATGCTTTTTCTCATTTAGTGTTATTTTCCAGTGCCATTCATTTTAACATGTAGATCAGGTAAATTTTTTAACTGCTGTATTCCTTTATGTGAATATACCACAATTCAGCCATTCTCCTATCAGTGGCCATTTAGTTGGTACTATTTTTTCACTGTTACAGTGCTGCAGTGAATATCCTTGTGAACATGTGCAATAATGTCTCTGGGGATATGTCTGCAGGTGGACTGAACAAATCACACAGTATGCACAACTTTGGCTAGAGTGAGTGCCTCCGTTTACCCTCCCACTAGCAATGTATGAGCATTCCCATTTCTCTACCTCAAAATTCCTAACAACTTAATTTCCATTAGGTTACTTGGGGGAAAGAGTTTTAGTGTACATAATGTTACGAGTTGTGAGTCTTAAGTTTGCAATAGTATTATTCACCAACTCTCAACTTTCCCTTACAGAAGGTGATGCTCTCTTAGAAAACCTTTATTCTCGCCCTCAAAGACTTATTGATCACATAAATAATCTCCACAAGGAAGATGCCTTACTGAAGGAGGAAAGCAGCATCTATGATGATATTGTTTTTGTGGATGTTATTGACACTTACCGAAATGTTCCTGCAAAGTTATTGAACTTCTATAGATGGTATGTTGTGAAAATCCTGAGTAGCCAGCATTTGTTTTATTGTTGTTTTGGTGTAGACACAATTTACGAACATCAGACCCCATTGAGTTTTTTTAAGAACAAACCTAAGACCCCCGAAAACATGAGATACTATTGAATCCTGATGCTTTCTTATGGCCAGTCTTCCAAATTGTGGCCGCTTTCTTATTTAGATTAGCAGATCCATCATGTGAATTATCTTAATATATCAAACTATCAAGGCAAAAATTGATTCACTTTGAGTCAAAATCATGCCTTTACATCATTGCCAGGGTTGTCTCAAGCCAACATTAGGTGAAAATCAGCTGAGTTTGAAAATGGCCCATTTTCAATTTTATTCATACCACCTACCTAAATCCTCCAATTATAGTCACTTGCACCCAGGTTACTAATCTGAATTCTGTTCAGTTAAACATCCACATCATACTTCCCATTCTCTATTCCATCCATTTAAAAAACTACTTGCCGTAATTTAAAAACTTTTACATAAGATGAAATTCAATAAGCCTTAGGGTCTTATTTATAACCTCCCAGACCCTCCAATATTTCTTGGATCTCAGCTGTAATTCCTACATTTATAATATCAACATTTTATATATATCTATAAAATATAAATATTTGTTAGTATTAGTTACTCTAGGATCCCTTGATTTGCCGTTAAGCCGCAATGCTACTGTCTACCCTAGTTATAGAATTAAACTTGTTGCCCTGGGCAGAGTGGGTAGTACTTTATGGATGTGATTCCCTGTTGCTGAAGGGTAGATGGTCTAATTAGTTTTTGGAAGGTAATGTTTCATAGACTGTGGCAAATTAGCATATTTTTGGAGTTATCCTGTGGGTTGAGGGCAGATAAAAATAAGAGTTGGAAATTGGGTGTGTCTAGAACACCAGGATTAATTTTGGACAGCTAATATAAGAACCTTCCTTGGGCTCAAGGCTACTAATGGGGGTTCCTATTGTAGGTGGGGCTGAGGCAAGGATGTAAAGACATGAGGAATAGGAATGGAGGTCCAGTAAATGGGACATTGGGGCTGTGGAGGTCTAGGACTTTCTATAAGGATCTGATTCCCAGTTGAGGAAGTTGAGTTTCATTTAGATATTAACTTCAGTTAAGTCTTATGTCCTCTACTCTACTCCTGCTATATCTCTGAGATCTTAGCCGCTCCCCTTAATCTCTGCTGCTGCCATCTATTTTGGGCCACCATGTCCACCTGGGTTACTTCAGTGACCTAACAGAGCTATGCTCTAGGATCCACTTGCCTATAAAGTACTGCACCTGTCTCCACACTTTAAATGAGAGCTTCATTACACATTCTTCTTTCTTCAGTTGATTCATTAGTGACCTCAGTATCCTTTATCACAAGTCTTTTCCTAATAAGCAAATCATTATTATGTACGCCTTACACTGCTAATTAGAAATAAACTTCAGAAGCATAGCCTCACGTTATTTGGTGTGGACCCATTGTTGCTAAATTTACCATTCTTTGACCTAAAGAAATTCTCTCGGCTTCTTTCATTCATATTTTTTGTCGTCTGACTGGTTGACTGGTTACCTAGCAGAACTCTGGTTTTTTAACAAGGATATACAGGGATTAGCAATGTAAATGAGTTGATTTTATCTTTAGTGGTCGTTACATACTTTCTATGTCTACGTAAATGAAATTACCCTACTGTACCTTCCAGAAGGTCATACGTAATAGTTTAATTGCTGAAAATCATTTTCCAAGGGAATATACATTTCAGTGTTATAACTCGAGTTTTTTTAAACCACAAAAGATCTAAGTGTAATATAAATTGTAGCATAGAACATAAACATAGCATCTTGGAACTGTGTGTTCTATGTGACAATCTATGGATGACACCCATCTCCTCATCCTGGGCCTCTATTAAGAACACAGGGTCAAGGTTCAGATGTTTCATAGATTTGACAGCCTGACGTGGGTTAGTGCCTGTGAAGCATCTGTTTGGCATAAGTTTTTTTATTCTTTGTCTTTCACCTTTTAAAATAGACTCAGTACTGTCTGAGTTTGCTACCTAGTAAATACCAAGCCAGTGTTCTAAATACTGGAGAAATAAGACACTGAAAAGGCATACAGGGAGTCCAGGGGAGGTTTCTAATTAGAATGTTAGCAATATCACCACAATGGTCTTGCTTTTTTTGCTCGTATGGACCCACTGATTTTCATTTCCCTTTTTTGCCAACAGGACTGTGGAAACAACCAGCTTTGATTTATTGCTAAAGACAGATGACGACTGTTACGTAGATTTAGAAGCTGTATTTAATAGGATTTCACACAAGAATCTGGATGGGCCTAATTTTTGGTGGGGAAAGTAAGTTAAACATTTAGCCTCTTGGCAGCCATGTACCTGATCATGTGTAATTAATGTAGAATGAAATATATGTCATTTTTCACAAGTGTGGCTGAGATAGGAAGTTTCCCTATTAGGCTCTGGGTTAGTATATTTTATTCATCTACAAATAGAGGGGAAAATTTTTTTTAATGAAAAGCCTCAAACTAATGTAATGAAGGAGGGAAAACAATGTGGCTTTTATCCTTATGCCATAGCAATAAGTGGTACTTAAATTAGAAGCTGCTGTACATCATGCTAGAATGTATTTGTGACACATTTCTGAAACAAGTTTCAGTGTTTTTTCAGGAATACTGTATGGATTGGTGATTTTTTTTTAAGCACATACACCCAGGATCATTTGGTGTTTCCCATTCAGAAACTCCACAAATGCAATTTCAAGAGACGTTCTCATACCAGTCTTTTATATAAAATACCCACTAGATAAATAATTCCTTTCCTTCGACTAAAAAAAACCTTTCATTCTTCCTTTGCTTCTAAGCTTATTCCACTGTAGGATAATAAAGGAGTCAAGGTTAATAGTGGTAGGATGTGGATCAGACCAATACAGAGAAGCCTACTCATTGTTGAGTCTCAGTTTCAGGTTGAACTGGGCAGTTGACCGAACTGGAAAGTGGCAGGAGCTGGAGTACCCCAGTCCTGCTTACCCTGCCTTTGCATGTGGGTCCGGGTATGTGATCTCCAGGGATGTCGCCTACTGGCTGGCCAGCAACGCAGGCAGGTTAAAGACTTATCAGGTAATTAAGGATTTCCGACCCAAGAATGTACTCATCAAACCAGGTTTCATCTAGCCCAGTATTCCATCTCTGAAAGCAGAGCCAGCTCACTTTGAGGACAAGTTCATCACTCTTCAGAGGTTAGGGACACACTCCTGTCCTTCAATCCTGGCTCTGAATTCTATTCTTAAATCTGTTTTTGAGCCTATTTATTATGTTTTCAGCTTTATTTACAAGTATGATCCCTGGAAGAATGGAAGGATTTATATTCATAAGAAAGACTATGAAATGTTTTCTTTGCTGATTCTGCTGGTAATGTCAGTAAAACTCTGCCCAGTTGGTAGATCCACTGTGTCTTTTTTACTATTAGTGCTGGAGGTTTAAGTTCCCTGTGAAGGGTGGACTGCTGTGCACTGAAGTCTGTGGTCTTCTCATTTCACTGTGCTGTGTGTTTGTGTTTCATGTTAATGGCTGCCAGTTTTTATTTGGCTCTGTGTATCAGTATTAACACATGCTTGGCATTTTATATTAAAACAATTACAAAATAAAGAATAGATTGTTTATTATGGTAATGGTTGTGGCATTGTCTTTACAGTGATATAATTTAACCTGCATTTAAACTTTATGGGGCATGCATAGGGTGAAGACGTAAGCATGGGCATTTGGATGGCAGCCATAGGACCTAAAAGGTACCAGGTAAGCAAGTCTGGGAGGCTGGCCTTGGGGTTCTAAAGAGTTGAGGAACTGAGATTTCTATATCAAACCTTGGGCGCAGAAGATCTTCTAGCATCTTAGCTGTGCTCTTGATTTAATTCGCATTAATTCACCCTGGTTCTCATACAATTATTTCTCAGAGTTTAAACCAAAAGGAAATGTTTTGAATGAAGGTTCTCCTACCCACGAAGAATTAGATTTTTATACATTTGATCAGAAATTCTTTTCAGCTTTAAAGCTTAGAGAATCAGCTGACTTTAAGTGGGTCCAGGGACCCTTGAACCATTCTGATTGATGCAAATAAAACACTTGATAAAATATTGTCAATTATCTTTTGAAATTCTGAGCTAGAAAGAAATATAAGAAATGAATCTGCAGAGACAACACAGATGGGCAACAGAAGCCTTGGGAAGAAAGCAAGTGCAAAAGCTGGCCTTTGCCTCAACATTTCTGTTGTATTCTAGGTCCTTGCAGCTTCTGCTTTAGCTGTAGATGGTGCAGGGGACAGAAAGACCATGTGGTGTTTGCCAGAGTGGGACCTGCAGAGGGCCTGAGCCCAAGCAGGGCACTTGCACTCAGGAGTGAACAGGAGTAACCCCAAACTACTCGGCAGCTTTGAGAGTCCTATTCTTTTGTCATACTTTTGGTCCCGTCTTTGGTTTATCTGACATTGAAATAATTATTTTATTGTCTGTATCTGGTAATTGCTTGATTCTGTAGTCTGCTGTTTCTGCAGACTATCGCTTACGGTGCTTGTTTCCTGATGTGTTTAGGAACTCGTTTTTTATTGTGACCTCATGCTTCCTTGGTAAACTGAGTTCTGCATTTGAAATGCATTCCTACAAAGAGGATTTACATATTTTCTGACTTGGGACTTTTGGGGCTCCAAGAATGTGATTACAGCCACATACCTACCTAAGGACAGGCTGTGGTTCTCAGAGCTGAGGGTCAAGGCTGAAAAAGACAAGCCACCTCTGTACACAGTTGTTTTCTTAATAACTCCGTGGCTTTCACTCTCTGGGTCCTGGCTCTCTGGGAGTCGCTGGTCCATCCCCTGTCCCCTGGGCATGGCCTTTTGAAACCCAGCAGAGCTCAGAACACACAGACTCCACCACCTACGGTCCAGCTGCTTCTCCTTCACCACCAGTTCATCCATGCTTTAAAAAGATGTTTTTGGTTGTATCCAGCTTTTTTATATTCTCTAATTAAATAGATGTGTTCTGCTACATTGCTGGAAAAAGAAGCTAGCCCTTGTAGGTGGGAAGTGGACTGGTAGATAGGAAGTTGGGCTCAGTTAGGCCCAGGAGTCTGACAGTTCCCATTTTAATCCCTTAAGGTTTTAATTTAAACCTTACATGAACTTCACTGTGACCTTGAATAAAGTTTTGGTTTCTCATTTGTAAAAGGGAAATAATTCCTGCCACACAGGATTGTGAAAATTCAATTAGATACTATTTATAAAGCCCTTGATACATGCCCATGAATTTTGTAAGCATTTCATCAAAATAACTGCTGTTCCTTATATTGCTAGGCAGCCACCTTTTTTCTTTAATAGGAAATGAAAGCTTCACTGTAGTTTCCAAGCTTTCACTTCAGAGAAACTCCCTTTGCTAATTCTTACTGTGCACACTGCACTGTTCCTTCATTCCTTGGCCACAGGGTGACTGGTGTGGTGTTTCCCCTAAGCCCCACAGATTACAAGTAGGCTCACACATGGAGCTGTTTTTGAAATAATTTCAGCTTCATTGGACTATTTAAGCTGCCAATGTGCTTGCTTGCTTGCTTTCTTGAAACACAGTTTCACAGCTCCAGGTCAGTTTTTGCTTGTTTCTCCACAGGACAGCCTGTGGCTGTGTGAGAAGACTTGCGAACCAGGAATGCTGTCTTCCCCTCAGTACTCACCACAGGAGCTCACACAGCTGTGGAGACTGAAGGAATCGTGTGGCGATCCTTGTCAGTGTGAAGCAAGATGAGGATGATTTTATTTGTGTGTTATGATCAGGGTAGGCGACTGATGATCTGAGAGTCAGTCTGATGGAAGCCCAAGATTTGGTAATAGATTATACGGTCTTTCAGGATAGTTCTAGGCTGGCACTTTCACCTGTAATCAATGTGGTATTTCTCAGTGTTTGTACAAAATTTCCTTTTTAAAAATCAGCTGATACTGTAGCATAAGAAAAACTATATTGGAAGATGATTTGAAAAATACCAAATTGTTTATAAAACAAAAAACACTTCTAAAATCATGATGCATCATTTCTAATTAGTAAATCATCTGTCATTTTTGGTTAAAAATCAGTGTAATTCAGAAACCTTTAGCAACTGAGAGTTTGAATTTCAGCCTGGATTGCAGAATAACTCCGTATAGCATAATTAGGGTAAGTAAGGGCCAAAAAGAACCACAGAAATGCTGTGTGATTATGTGGTCATTTATACCAAAGTTTGGGGTTTCTGGAAGTAATGTCAGATTCTGAGGATCTCTGAGTGAAGTGGGCATTTAAATCTGTAAGGGAAGCAATATAATTTTCAGTTCTGTACCTTGGTTTTAAAGTTTTCTTTTGCCTTGCAACATGAATCTTAAAGGTCACAGTTTAGTACTCCTGTTTTCTTTTAAATGCTAAAATTTTGTGAATATAAAGTCAAATCTCTTTTAGGGTTTTACTGACATAGGGAAGGATATTTGTAAATAGTTGATACTTTGAAGGAATTTTGTTTTCTTCCAATCATTGCCTAATGTTTACCTAAGTACCTAATGAATTTTGATCAGGGCTGGTAATCTTATAGAGAAGAATATACATCCAATTAAGATACAACTGTAGGGAAAAGCATGTTATTAATTTTTGCAAGTACTCAAAAATAGTGCAACTGAGGAGAGAGCTCATAGCTTATATGTTATACATAGTAGAAGATGTGCCTCCCTAAGTTTAAAGGACATTTCCCAAAATGACTACCCAAATCACTTTGATAACCTTTTAAACTAGTAGTATGAGTAGAATTTCATTAAAACTGGTCTGAATGACAGGCATTAACTGTGTTCAGGTTTTACTAGACGAGCTAGGTTCTATTTAATACTGAATTGAAGTCTTCACAAAGTGAGACTTACTCATAAACTATAAAATACAAAAAAATCAATACCATTAGTAGGTACAAAGACTTTATTATTGCTATTATATACAAGCTTAGAAACAGTCTCTTACCAATGAAAAATTCCTTTTCTATACTTAGAACAAGTTGTAAAACCTCATTTTTTTGGACAGTAGAATTATTCCAGTAAATCACTTATTTCCAGTAAACCACTTATATCCAGTCACGATAAATAGTGGACTCTCTGAATTTTATTAGTTGGCTGTTAACCATCGCACTAATAGACAGTCTCCATTTTCCACAGAATAAAACTGTAAGGACTGTTGGTCATTTTCTAGTTCAATTTCTCTGCCCGGCATCTAAAATTAAAACAAATGGTTGTGGGGGGATGACTAGATCTGGACAAGCAGTGTTATATTCATCCCCCACCAAACAGATGGTTTCCATTGAGAATCAGACTTACAGAGAGAGCATGCCATGCTGTGGGGAACTGAGCTTGACTTTGTGTTTTGCTGGGCAACTTACTTTGGGACTTTCATAGGACAACAGAAGTTCTGACACAGGAACTTTGAGAAGACGGGACAGCAATCCTTTCACCTTGTGAATTGTCATGGAGTCTATCAAAGAAAAGAAAAACCATTTCTCTCAAATGACAGTTACATGTAAAATTAGCTCAGTGACAAGCCACAATTACAATGAAAACAGCTCAGTTTACCCAAGATTAGGGAAAGGCTCACCTACCTACCCCATGGACCCCAAGATTACAGTTTCACACCACTCACTGGAGTTATTTGGGAAGCTGCGGGAAATGGAGCCAGTGTTTGACCTAAGTGCCCTTTGATGATGAGTTTTCATAACCATTACAGTGGTGGTGAATATTTCTTCCTTAATCTGAATAAACCAGAAGTCTGCCCAGGGAATAAATGTGAGTGGAATCATTAACTTTTCTTTCTAAACCCTTGTAATTACTTCCTTCTGGCTTACTGAAGAGGCTGGAGGGCTTAGTGGCCTTTGAGGTCCTCCATCTCTCCAGCCTTCATTTCCTCCTCTGTAAAAGGAGGGGCAAGCTGAATATAAGCTCCCCTCCAGCTGCCAGTCTATAACTATAATGTATAATTGTGTTACACACACACACACATACACGTAAACACCAGGCATGGGTGTAACTTAGTAAAGTTTGGTTTGTTCAGAAAACACTTCTTTCCAAAGATGGGTTGTGGTAAATATTTGAGTATTTTATGAGAAATATAGTTTCTTTGAAGCTTTAGCTGGAGGTACAGCAATAGTGTGGTGTTCCTACAAATATCACATGTATTCAAACAAATATTTTTCTATCAAAAATAATTTTTGTAAAAGCTGTTTGTGTTTTTATGCAACTTGTGATAATAAATGTTATCTTTATTTTAGATGAAAAACTGGCCTTTTTTTGTGTATGTATGTTATATAAACTATAGACATTTTAAGTAATATAATTTGCTTTTATATGTGAATGTATAATATAGTCCTTTCAAAAGATTTAGGTAGACTAACTGATTGTTCAGAGGCTGGTTAGTGATGAGTTAACCCCAGCATAACAATGGGAAATGACACATTCATGAGCCATCTGAGAAAGAGAACGTATGGTCGTAAAACTATTCTAATATGAAATCGGCCAACCTGCACTATGTCTACAGAAGACAGTGACACTTTACATGTAATGATTTAAATAACATTACCATTTTTAATACAAAAGCAACACATGACTGCCTTAACAGTCAGAAAAAGGAGACATGATTAATATTTTTGCCTCCCTATGACCAATGTTAAAAGTTTAATGGGTAGGGAGATTGGCTTAAAGATGGCGGAATGAGAGGTGAGACAAACCTCTTCCCAAAACCACATCTATTATGAGAATACAGCAAATAAAACTAATCCTGAAAGAGCAACAGGGAAGAACGTGGCAACAGACTGCCTACATCTGGGGAAAGAGTGGACCTCACGGAAAAGGGTAAATACCAAAGCCATAATCTGGCGGGACCCTTCCCCCGCCCCAGCTCACTGGCAGGAGGAAGAGAAACGGAGTAGGAAGGGGTGGAGGCCTAGGACTGCTGAATACCCAGCCCTGGGAGCACGAATCTACACTACATGGTGCTGGAGGTTAGTGGGGTTGGAAAGCTAAGACAGGCGGAATACTCGGAGAGACTGAGATTCCAGCCACTTGTGAAATCCGGCATCTACAACCAGCCACTGTGGGACAAAAGGAAGGCAGGCACTCTGAGAGACTTCCCAGCAGTGAGAGGGCTGTTAAAGGGGCAAAGACTGCACAGAGCTTGCTGCTCAGGATAGGTGGACTAAATTGGCCCAGTGCACTCAGCCCAGCAGGTTGGGAATGTTCAGGAGCTCAGGTGCTCCATACCCCTGGTGATGATGCAGCTCCGAGACCCTGCACCACAATACACAACCTGCTGCTCCCTCCCAGTTGGCACAAGCTCACAAACCTGTTACCCACAATTGCACCAGGCCAGCCAGAGGAGTGTCCCACATATGGCAGCTACAAGGGTATAGCATAGAGGTAGAGGCTCCTTCCTGTGCACTTGGCCCACTAGCCCTAGCAGTGGAGGCATGCACTACAGCTGGGAAGCAGGAAAGAGCTCTTTCCTACCGGCAGGCACCAGCATGCATCACCTGCAACCCCTGCCATCACTCCAGGGGCTGAGTACAGCTTCTGGGCACTAAAGGGCACCACCTACAAATATGAAACGTCAAAGGAACCTGGTTGAACCCCAAACACCAGGAAGAGGGTCAACTGAAACTGAACTCACCAATCTCCTGAAAGAGATTTCAAAATAAAAATCATAAACATGCTCATGAAGGTACAGAAAAATACTCAAGAACTCAGGGAAGAATTCTGAATGGAGATCCAATCATTATGAAATACAATATAAGAAATGAAACATACAATGGAGGGATTTAAAAGCAAATTAGATACCGTGGAGGAGACAGTAAATGGAACAAATTACAGACAAGGAATACAAAGAAGCTGAGGCACAGAGAAAAAAGGATCTCTAGGAATGAATATTGAGACAACTGTGTAACCAATCCAACAGAACAATATTCACATTATAGGGGTACTAGAAGAAGAAGAGGACAGAAAGAAAGTGTCTTTGAAGAGGTAATTGCTGAAAACTTCCCCAATCTGGGGAAGGAGATAGTCTGTCAGGCCATGGAGGTGTACAGATCTCCCAACAAAAGAGACCCAAGAGAGACAACACCAAGACATATAATCATTAAAATGGCAAAGATCAAGGATAACGGGAGACTTTTAAAAGCAGCCAGAGAGAGAAAAAAGATGACTTACAAAGGAAAACCCATCAGTCTATCATCAGATTTCTCAACAGAAACCTTACAGGCCAGAAGGGAGTGGCATGATATAGTTAATGCAATGAAGCAGAAGGGCTGCGAACCAAGAATACCCAGAAAAATTGTTTAAATTTGAAGGAAAGATTAAACAATTTTCAGATAAGTAAAAGCTGAGAGAATTTACCTCCCACAAACTGTCTCTATAGTGAATTTGGGAGGGACTGCTATAGACGGAAGTGTTCTTAAGGCTAAATAGGTGTCACCAGAGAAAATAAAACCACAAGAAAGGAAGTAGGCCAATTAATTACTAAGCAAATGGAAAATTAAATCAACTAACCCCCAAGTCAGTCAAGGGATACACACACAGTACAGAATATGATACCTAATATATAAAGAATGGAGGAGAAAGAAAAGGAAAGGGGGAAAAAAACCCTTTAGATTGTGTTTGAAATAGCATACTATGTGAGTTAAGTTAGATAGGAAACAAACTTTGGTACCCAACGAATCTAAAGCCTGCAATGGCAGTAAGTACTTATTTACTGATAATCACCCTAAATGTAAAATGACTGAATGCACCCATCAAAAGACATAGTTACACAATGGACTAAAACAGAAGACCCATCTATATACTGCTTACAAGAGACTCACTTTAAACCCAAAGACATACACAGACTAAAAATGAAGGGATGGAAAAAGATATTTCATGATAATAGGGGAAAAAAAGGCAGGAGTTGCAGTTCTTGTATCATGTATCAGACAAATTAGACTTCAAAACAAAGAAAGTAACAAGAGACAAGGACATTACATAATGATAAAGGGAGGCTATAACCATTATAAATATCTATGCACCCAACATAGGAGCACCTACATATGTGAAACAAATACTAACAGAATTAAAGTGGGAAATGCAATGCAATGCACTCATTTTAGGAGACCGCAACACACTATTCACTCCAAAGGATGTATCAACCAGACAGAAAATAAAAAACAGAGGCACTGAACAACACATTAGAACAGATGGACCTAACAGACATCTACAGAACACTCCACCCAAAAGCAGCAGGATACACATTCTTCTCAAGTGCACATGGAACATTTTCAAGAATAGATCGTATACTAGACCGCAGAAAGAACCTGAGTAAATTCAAAAAGATTGAAATTGTACCTACCAGTTTCTCAGACCACAAAGGTATGAAACTAGAAATAAATTAAGCAAAGAAAACAAAGAAGCCCACAAACACATGGAGGCTTAACAACATGCTCCTAAATAATAAATGGACCAATGACCAAATAAAAACAGAGATCAAGCAATATATGGAGACAAAGGAAAACAATAATTCACTGCAAAATCTGTGGGATGCAGAGAAGGTCGTGCTAAGAGGGAGGTATATTGCAATACAGGCTTACCTCAGGAAAGAACAATCCCCTATGAACAGTCTAAACTTACAATTAATGAAACTAGAAAAAGAAGAACAAATGAGGCCAAAAGTCAGTAGAAGGAGGGACATAATAAAGATTAGAGCAGAAGTAAAATCAAGATAGAATCAAAGCAGGAGCTGGTTCTTTGAGAAGCCAGACTTTATGCAGAAACAAAGGGAGTCTAAACAAATAATCAGAAATGAGAAAGGAAAAACACTATGGACACCACAAAAATAAGAGAATTAGTAGAAAATACTATGAAAAATTATGTGCTAAAAAACTGCATAACCTACAAGAACTAGACAACTTTCTAGAAAGATATGACCTTCCAAGGGTGTCCCAGGAAGAAACAGAAAATCTGAACACACCAATTACCAGCAATGAAATTGAATAGGTAAAAAAAAAAGTACATAAAAACAAAATGTCTGATTACGATTAGCACACATAATGTAGGGGGGAGCATGGGGAAGGCAGTATAATATAGAGAAGACAAGCAGTGACTCTAGCATCTTTGTTGATGGACAGTGACTGTGATGGGGTATGTGGTGGGGACTTGATAATGGGGGGAATCTACTAACCACAATGTCGCTCATGTAATTGTATATTAATGATACCGAAATAAATAAAAACAAAAACAAAATGTCTGGACCAGACGGCTTCACTGTTGAATTTTACCAAACATTTAGTGAACACCTAATACCCATCCTCCTTAAAGTTTTCCAAAAAGTAGAAGAGGAGGGACTACTTCCAAACTCCTTCTATGAGGCTAGCATCACTCTATAATACCAAAACTAGGCAAAGACACCACAAATAAAGAAAATTATAGACTAATATCCCTGATGAACATAGATGCAAAAATACCGAACAAAATATTAGCAAACTGAATTAAAAAATACATCAGAAAGATCATCATGACCAAGTAGGATTTATTACAGGGATGCAAGGATGGTACAATATTCAAAAATCCATCAACATCATACACCACATCAACAAAAAGGACAAATATTACACGATCATCTCCATAGATGCTGAAAACACACTTGACAAAATGTAACATCCATTCATGATAAAAACTCTCAACAAAAAGGGTATAGAGGGCAAGTACCTCAACTTAATATAAAGGCCATATATGACAAAACCACAGCCAACATCATGCTTAACAGCAAAAAGCTGAAAGCTTTTCCTTTAAGACCAGGAACAAGACAAGGATGCCCACTCTCTCCACTTTTATTCAACATAGTACTGGAGGTCCTAGCCACGGCAATCAGACAACACAAAGATTGGCAAGGAAGAAGTTAAATTGTCACTGTTTTCAGATGACATGATATTGTACATAAAAAATCCACCCCAGAACTACTAGAACTAATTAAATTCAGCAACACTGAAGGATTAAAAATTAACACACAGATATCTGTTGCATTCCTATACACTAAACGATGAACTAGCAGAAAGAGAAAGCTGGAAAACAGTTCCATTCACAATAGATCAAAAAGAATAAAATACCTAGGAATAAACCTAACCTAGGAAGTGAAAGATCTATAACCTGAAAACTACAAGATACTCTTAAATTAAAGAGGACACTAACAAATGGAAACTTATCCCATGCTGTTGGTTAGGAAGAATTAATATTGTCAAAATGGCCATCCTGCCTAAAGCCATCTACAGATTCAATGTAATCCCTATCAAAATACCAGTGGCATTCTTTAACAAACTAGAGCAAATCGTTCTAAAATTTGTATGGAAACACAAAAGACCCCGAATAGCCAAAGCAATCCTGAGAAGGAAGAATAAAGCAGGGGGGATTACACTGCCAACTTCAAGCTCTACTACAAAGCCACAGTAATCAAGACAATTTGGTACTGGCACAAGAACAGACCTATAGACCAGTGGAACAGAATTGAGAGCCCCAATATAAACCCAAGCATATATGGTCAATTAATATATGATACAGGAGCCAAGGATATATAATGGAGAAATGACATCCTCTTCAATAACTGGTGTTGGCAAAACTGGACAGGTACATGTAAAAGAATGAAACTGGATTATTGTCTTAACTCCATACAGAAAAGTAAACTCGAAATGGATCAAAGACCTGAATGTAAGTCATGAAACCATAAAACTCCTACAAGAGAACATAGGCAAAACTCTCCTGAATATAAACATGAGCAACTTTTTCCTGAACACACCCTCTCAAGGGAAACAAAATAAAAAATGAGCAAGTGGGACTATATCAAACTAAATAGCTTCTCTACCATCAGTAGAACAAAAAGACATCCTATAGTATGGGAGAACATATTCATAAATGACATACCCAATAAGGGGTTGACATACAAAATATATAAAGAGCTCACACGCCTCAACACCCAAAAAGCAAATAACCCAATTAAAAATGGGTGGAGGATCTGAACAGACACGTCTTCAAAGAAGAAATTCAGATGGCCAACAGACATATGAAAAGATGCTCCACATTGCTAATTATCAGGGAAATGCAAATTAAAACCACAGTGAGATATCACCTCACACCAGTTAGGATGGCCAACATTCAAAAGACAAGGAACACAAATGCTGGTAAGGATGCAGAGAAACAGGAACCTTCCTATACTGCTTGTGGGAATGTACATTAGTTCAACTATTGTGGAAAGCAATATGGAGGTTCAAAAAGTAAGAAGAGAAATACCATTTGACCCAGGAGTTCCCCTCCTAGGAATTTACCCAAAGAAAACAAGATCCCAGATTCAAGAAGACATATGCACCCCTATGTTTATCGCTGCACTATTTACAATAGCCAAGATATGGAAGCAACCTAAGTGTCCATCAGTAGATGAATGGATAAAGAAGATGTGGTACATATACACAATGGAATATTATTCAGCCAAAAGAAGAAAACAAATCCTACCATTTGCAACTGCATGGAAGGAGCTAGAGGGTATTATGCTCAGTGAAATAAGGTGGTGCTGAAAGACAAGTACCAAATGATTTCCCTAATTTGTGGAGTATAACAACAAAGAAAAAATGAAGGAACAAAACAGCAGCAGAATCACAGGCTCCAAGAAGGGACTAGGGGTCACCAAAGGAGAGGGGTGCGAGAAGGTGGGTGGGAAGGGAGGGAGAAGGGGATTGAGGGGCATTATGATTGGCACACATGGTGTGTGGTGGTGGGGTCTCAGGGAAGACAAGGTAGCACAGAGAAGACAAGTAGTGACTCTGTGGCATCTCACTACACTGATGGACAGTGACTGCAGTGGAGTGGGGGGGGGACTTGATAATATGGGTGAATGTAGTAACCACAATGTTTTTCATGTGAAACCTTCAATGATACCTTATTTTTTTTTAAAAGTGTAATGGGCATAATTCCTGACATTCATGTATATAACGATGTGTAGGTTTCATAATCTATATTGGTCTGCATCTTGAATGTCTTTACTAGCATGGTCCATCTTTCACGGCCCTTCCTCTAGACGTGCGCTGTCCACAACTGCCGCTCCATGGAACTGGTGAGCATGTGAAATGTGGTAAGACTGAGGAGCCGACTTTTTCAAATTTTATTTTAATTTAAGGAATTTAATTTAAAATGCCTCATGGGGCTTGTGGCAGCCACATGGGATGTGGAGCTCTAGACTCTCTTCCTTCTCTAATGACACAGAATACGGGATGTGTCGTTCTACCAAGATTTATTCAGCCATTTCCTCACTGTGAACATTAAAATGTTTGAGCTGTTACATACAAGTGATACAAGGTAGAATGCTGGTCACAGTATGTATGTATGTATTATGCCAGTTACCACATGACTTTACAAAAACAGTACACTTGTTTTCCATGCCAGCTCCACATGTTTTTGTCTTTAATTTCTGATAATCTGATAAGCAAAACAATGTTGCAGTACTTTACATTTATTACTTTTCTTTTTTAGTCTATTTATATTAGCGATTAGATATTTATAGCATGTGGCATAAAATTTAATAGAACTGTTGTGATCTGCTGGCTTGCTGAGTTTAGAGAATATGGGACTCAGATTCTGAATAGCTCAAATCCGTACTCATTGTATAATTTCTATGGATGATTCTAATCTCTGCTGGTTCCCTTGAGGATGAATACAAGTTATGACCATTGTGGGTGTTCAGTGGGTAACTGAGTCTCAGGAGAATGGGGACACAGCCAGATTTACTGCAGTGACAGGCAAATTAAAGCATTTCACTAAAGTCTTGTTGCGGTGTTACATACTTTATTTCTTCTTCAAATCTGCACTGCTCTAAATTTAAGCTGCTTGTATTCTAGTATTTATCTGTGATCAAGTTTAATCTTGCAAATTCATACTATACTCACAGACTAATTTAATTTTTCTTTTGAATGACAGTTTAAGGTAAGTTACACTGATGTAATTTGTTGACACAAAAATATTTATATTCTGAATGCATCCAATTCAGTTCCAGTAACACAAATGTTTAGATAAAGCTCTGAAATCATTTTTTCAAAGAAAACCCTTTCAGTGTACCCATTAAAAGACAGCCTCTGAGAAGTGTTTCAGCAGGGACTCCTGATTGGAAAGAGCAGAGTGCATGATAAGTCACCAATGTCTAAGTGATTCACAATTCTGTTCACAAGGACATGTTTCCTGTTCTATGAAGGGAGGATAAGACAAGATCTCTAGCCTAGTGTGAGTTTCTCAACAGGAGCAACAATGTGAGAAGTGAACAGCAGTAGCTTTGGCTAAGCCACTCAAGTGTGTCTGTCTTTAACTAAAGAAGTAATCATATGCAAGGGTTCCAGTATTAACAGAAATTTTCTAGATAAGCAGATAAAATTATGGGAGATTTAAACTTTGGGGATGGGGGAGTGATAAGAGCATGATCGATTTATATTTTAGAATATGAAAGACTAGTGAAAACTTGTAAGCTCTCAAAGTCCACATCTTCCAGTATGAACTATTTTATTTCCGGCTGACTCAAACCGAGGCCAGCGATTCAGAGGTATAATTATGGAGGGGAAGACAGCCTTATGTTGCTTACCTGGTAGTTGTTTCTCTATGATTTTCTGATCAAGTTGATTAGGGTATTTTATCTTCAGTGCTTGAAAGAAAAAAAGGAAAAAGGCTAAGTAAGACCTACCGCAATAAGGATTTAAATTATACATGCACATTAACAGTGACTACCAAATGAGACAGCTGTTTGTATCATCAGCTCAAATCCTAACAAAGGAATAGGTGTGATTCATGTTTAAAATTCCTTCTACTATTATTTCACAGAATACCACCAACAGCAAAACAACACAAATGGCTGAACTGGCTTTCTATCGCTTTCTCATTCCCCACTAGTCTTCTTCTCTGAAAATTCAACTAGGTTTTCAAGTGTAAGAAAAGTCACAAATTTCCAAATCACAATCAAGCTCACTACTCAAATACATACCATATTTATAACATGACTAAATGGGTTTAAAGCATGAGAATTACTAAAATGTTCAATATAAGAACATAGGTATGTTTGAGACTTCATTGTTCCTTTACAAATGGAAGACTCACTTAGGTTCTAAAGGGAACAAGAGTCCCTGTGAGGCCATCACTCTGTTCAGCACCTAAGGACTGCAATACAAATAAGCTGCCTTGGAACTGGGGATTCTTACTTAGTAGCTGGTTTTTGAGCAAAAATGGTTGTTGTGTTTTGAGTTCCCCATCTTCAGGTGCACCATACTCTGTTTAAGAAGAAACAAAAAAAGATGAGTGATAAACCAAAGGCCACTATAATAAAAAAAACACAGGTTAAGTATCAACACAGCCTTTTCTTGTCCAGAATAAACGTAGCAGCAGCAGCTGGTCTGCTCACCTGGAGTCTGCCTCCTTGTACTCAGCCTCGTTATTTATTTTTAGGAATGACAGCCCGCACCTGCTTCTGAGCATTGCCGCTGCCCCCTGGCGTTCCATCACTGACCCTCACAGACGGTCAGTGCACTGACAAAAGCTAGCAAGATGAAGCCATGCTTTCAAATGCAGAAAATGCTTATTCCAAGTTTCACCTTTGCTAACAGTCCCCTTTCTTTCTGGGTGCTGAGAGAGAAACCTGGTACTACTGGGGACATAACTAACAGGACACCTTCAAGTTTTAGCCAGATCTGGATATACTAGGCTGCACGCTCAGTAACACCTCTGCACACCAAGTGCCCCACTGGGACATGAGGAAAGCAGGCTGTTGTCCTGCTCTACCTCCTGCTACCAGGGACAGACTTCTGTAAACACCCCTGAGGATCAGTATGGTGCTGCTGAATCCTAGCCTCCCTGGCAGTGACATCTTGGGCCTTCCTGAGAGCTGCTTTAGAGCCTTACCTTCCCCACCACCACAGGATTCAGAGTTCACCTAAAGCAGCCAGAAAACTGAGCCAGCTAATGGGGAAATTTGAAAGCAATTCCCACAGGCAGCTTTTCTTCCTCAAAGGTAATGTTCCAGCTGAAGCGTTTATGCAGTGAGCTTCTTACATTAGGAAATATATTAAAAAAAAGAAAATCACATAAAAGTGAAATTTGGAATAATAATGAAGTCAAACAAAATGAAAGTACATCAGGGACAAAGTCATAACTTCAAGGCCTGAGGACCAAGGCCAGAGAATGTAAGGGAGCACCTTGCATACCAAGTGCTGAAATTGGTAGAGAGCGTGGTATGTGGTGGGCCTTCCTGAGTGCTCAGGTGGTCATTTAAACTTCCATGGGTGTTAGAATTACCTGGGGAGCTTAAAAAAAATAGTAATGCCTGGTTTCCACCTTCAAATGCTCTTCATTTCCTAGGTTACAGCCAGGGGTGAGCTCACTGGAGTGCTTCCTGCCCTTCCTAAAGTAGGGAGTGGTGCCCCTCTCCTGAAATCTAAAGTCTGGTGAATAAATACAAAGATGAGAAGAACCCTCTGAGAGCTGCTATCCCCTCCCCAAATGTCCATCCCTTCCTCCAGGAATCTACTAGAATTCCCAGTTTCTTCCCTGAGAGGAGATGCTGATTATCTTCTCTAAAGTCAACAGTTTAATTATCTGCTCCCAACTTGCTGAAGTAGCCCCATGAAAGTGCCCATGGTTATTTGGATGAGTTCAGAATGCCCCAAGGGAGAAAAGCAATGACACTGAGGACCTCCTTTGACACCCATGGGACAGCTCTGTCCCCACAGAGTACAGGTACATACTGAGGCAGAGCAGCTGGTATCTAGGATGGGCTGCAAGGAAGTCTTCACTTGGTCTGTTTTTGTCTGGACTCTGATGCCCACCAGCTCTTTTCCACTCTTTTCCAAATGATTTTCGGTAATCAAGCTCAGCTCCACGCCTTTCCTCTGGTAGAATCTGTATTGATAGGGAATGAAGACAAGTCTATTAAGGCATTTCTAGTGAGTGTATCTTGCACCTGGTTCTCCCTCCACTGCCTACCTAATAGAGTAATCGAATTGTGAGGGACAAGGTAATTATATTTTTACCTTTTAACATTGACAGAATTCAGGCGTTTCTTCAAAAAGAAAAAAGGAATTTCAGTTTTATACTTTTCTTCATGAGAGTATGTGCCCATGAGCCAGTTTCTAGACTCTGTCAGGTGCCTAATGCCTGCCCTGGAGGAGTGGACTTATTCCAAGCGGGCAGCACAGAAGTGCTGGCAAGGTGCTGCCTGACCAATCTGACGAGAAGGAAAAGACAAACGGGCTTTGTGGTTCTGACTTCTTTTGGCCTCTATTTCCCACAAGGAAAAGGAGAAAGTACCCAGTGTTCTTGCCCTTCCTCCAGTGATGATAAATCACAGGGGGCAGCTAAACAGCAGGTTTTCCCTATGCTCATCTCAGTGTAATGCTACCCCTGAGAAGCTGAAGAGAACTATTCATACTAAGATGCACATGAATAATATTTCACCAGTTGGAAGAAAACTACATCTGTTACACTTTACAATATTCTAATATGATTTCCTTTTACATTTTTTTGATAATTTTTTTTCTAGTCTAACCATGATACTGGCACTTACCTCACATTTGTTCAGGGTTTTCAGCTGCCCAATTCTGGCAATAATGAACTGACGTGTGGTCTGCGCCTCTTTGCCTCCTTCAGTCAGAGGGTTTCTTATGCAGGACAGAGTGTGCAGACTCTGTAACTTATCTAGCTCATTGATAAATGACCACTGAAATACAACAAAGGAAAATAAGTGAAGATAAACATGTTTCAGGCAAATGAACTAGCAAGAGAAAAGCAGAAGTCCCTAGTTCTGATCTGAGGCACAGAATTTCATCATGTACCAGGTGCCCACATACTTTCACTCTTTAACTGTGAATTAACTAATTTATTATTATTTTGGGAGTTTATATGAGGAGTTTCAATCTGAGGAAGCACCTCTCTTTTAATTTAAAATATTTTTAAATGGAAGGAACCTATAAACTCTGCCAGTAAGTATCGATGTGATGTGCACATTCTGAAGAAGCTCTTACTTGTGATATCTGATTGTCATTTACTACAAGGTACTGCAAGGAAGGAAACATCGATGTTTTGCACCCTAGAAAAAAGAAGAGACAAGTTACATGTAGAAATGAAATAAATAGCTGAAGTATGGGGAGTAGGGGTGGGTGGGATTTAATAATTGTGTATACCAATTCCAGCATCCGGAAAATGTACAGAAGAAATTCCAGTGTCAGAAAGGATTAGTTGTTCTAATCTGAAGTTTAAAAAGTGAAATTGGATTACACAGAACAATATACAATTCTATGAGCTATCAACCAGGCTAGACTTGTCCATTTTTTTGTATACCATGCTTAGAAACCAAAGAGTCCAACTTAGGGCATGCAAAGTAGACTCTTCATGTGCTAATGATTCTACAGTCTAATAGCCTCTGTTTGCCAGCTGCTGTGCGAGGGGCTACGGGGTCTCAGAGGAAAGAGACGCAGTCTTACTTCCCAGTGAATAAAGGCTTGACATTATCATGAGGACCAGATTATTCATTCTTCAGTTATTTAGTATAGACACAGACATAGACTACATTATACATGGTTCACAAGTAATTTCTCTAAACATATTTGAATAATTTCCCAAAGAGTATTACTCAGTTTGGGAATTCCACCATCATCCTATTTCCATTAAGAAAGTATATAGAGCTTATGATCTATTGACTCAAAATTTACTAAGCACTTTTGTAATAAGGAACTTTAGGAGCAAAATTACCTGGGAAGATATGCTATTAGGAAGAGCTGATTTTCATCAATTAATCGATTACAGGAAACATCTAATAACTTGACTGTCTGTAGAACATCAGCTGGCCTTTATGGAAAATAAAAATTTTCAACACCAACTTAATCTCTTAATTATTTTCAAAGACAAAGCCTTAAAATACCCACATTTGGTGATAAGGAGAGGTTGGGGGGAGGCAGGGGGATAGACAGGACTACAAAAGGGCACCATAAGGGATTCTTGGATGGGCATGCTATGTATCTTGACTGGACTAATATTGGTTCTGCAGGTGCGACAATACCAGAACTTTGCAAGATGTTACCAATGGGGAAACTAGGAAATGGAGACAGGCATCTCTGGATATTATTCCCTATAACTAGAAGTGAGTTGAAAATTGTTTCAAAAAGCTTAATTTTAAAAAGCCTACATTTGCCTGTAATAATAAATATCATTCTGTACAATAAAATCTCATTAATTTGAATTCTATAATTGAGAATCTGTTCTAAAATTGCCCAAGTTTATTTTACAAAGTAATTTAATGAAATCAACAAAAGAGGATGGGACAACCACATACTAAAGAGAACCAAAGTTTCTACATAGACTTTGGTGCATCAACTTTGAACAGATAATACTGGTTAAAAAAGCATGATCTAATCCTTATAGCATATCCAACAAAACTTTTATTTAGAAATATAAGTTAAATATACTCGTGTGAAACAAAGATTCATGTCTTCAAAAATAGTTAATTTAGGGTTTCCACTCTGATCAGTTTTCCTTAATTAGAATCAATTAGTGACGTTTTAGTTGGCATTCTACCTTGTGAAGGAAACAAATAATAAGTGTTTTTCATTTCTTATTTGCAAGTCCTAAAAATCAAAGTTAGGTATAATTGAGAGCATTTATTTATTCAGAATGACTGAGTGACTCATGCATTTAAGTAAACCCTTCTTACCTTTCTGAAATGGAAATATTGTTTGACTCAAGGTACAGCTCCTCGAGGACGGGCCACCCGGAGGCACACTGCAGCACCTGGGAGGAACTCAGTTCAGGGTGAGGCGGCCTCTGCTCGTTGTTCCTCCTGTGCATTTATTACCATAACCTCCACCTGAACTTGCTTTAGAACTAAAGTGCCCCGCGGACACTCTATGATGGACTATTATTTTGGGCCGGGTGCTAGTGGATGGGTGATAAAATTTCGGCCTTACAAGGCCCCCTAGTCCTGAGGGTACAGGAGCACACGTGAGTGCACTGGCCACGCATGGTAGGTGACCAGGCGTCACTCAGGCACACGGGGAACTGGAAGCGCTGACCGAGCATATTCCCATTATCTGATAGTTTGCTGAACCAAAGGAAGGGAACTGATGTTCCTCAACTGATGCCTCAGTTCTCAATAACAACCTGGGTTTATAAAGAATGCACTAATCAGACAAAATTTCCAAACAACTATTCCTAAATTTTCTCACTTGACCTAACTGGCATCTCCATGACCTGGCTTCTTATGTGCCCTTCCTGTTCTGATGCTAAGTGCCGGACAGGGAACACCTCATGCAGGGGTCTGGGACACCTGAAGGGCACAAGTTAAAGGTGACCTACTCTAAGGGAGGCTCCTCAGTAGCACTCCACAGAGGAACACCTTGGCTGGGGATGTTATTATCTGCTTTTGGTTTGGAAGTGGAATGTTCTGGGTGTGTGAAGTTAGATAACCTCTGACAGAAAAGAGTAGCACCAGATACAAGTGCCAAATGCTGAGCCACGAATCCACTTTTGAACCCAGCTGTACACAATGAACTGGATTCTAGGAGCTGAACTTCAAACAAGAAAAGAGTGTGAGGACCTTTTGGCTGCTCAGCCTCTGTCCTAAAAACACTGTGGGGAAACCCAGGTAGCTAAAAAGTCGGCCAACGGCCAACAGCCAGCTCTGAGGCTCTGTAGGCCCGGCACATTTATTGCATGCCGCTATGCAGTGCCACTGTTTAGAAAGACACCAGGACAAATCAGAATGAGCCAAGGGAGACTATGGATTCCTAGATCCAAAATTCTACTTAACTACAGTGATTTTATAACTCCACTCTGTGAGGCGATTTATAACTCCATTCAGTGATTTTATAAACTCCATTCTGTTTAAAGAATCCTATTATTTGGATAATGGGTTGATTAAAATGAAACCACAGTTGTGCTTCAATACTCTATTAAGCCAAGGATTTAAAATTGCTTATTATTGGGTAATAAACCAAAGAAATCACCTCAGCCCATGTTATTCCTGTTCGGTTAAGGACTAAAACCTTCAGAGTAGAAAATGCTCTGGTTAGAGACGATGAACCAGTTGGAAATTTCAGTAGATTTTCACTGCATGGAAGAAGAAGATACAGTGTGCTTATTGCTGTACAGTGGGTCCAAATGAAACAGCCATTGAAAACAACAATTTGGGATTTAATATGAGGAGTTTGGTTTCTTTCAACCTTAAAATGAAATTATCTTAAAAATAAAGTGAGTCAAGACTACCTCATTTCTAATATTTATAATATACAACTTTTTGGAATCAGACACACAAAGATGTTTTTCCATGGTGAGGCCACCAGTCTCCTAAACTTAAGGCTCAGGCACTTGTAAGGACAGCTTCCAGCTTCCCGCTTCCCAAGATGCAGTTCTGGACATTGTAAAATCAGGTCCCACTCTCAAGAATCTTAATGATGTGCTAGATCACGGGCAAGAATTTTGTTTCTCCAGAGTCTGCCCTTTTGCTATCAAGACAGAGGAAATAAATTACTGCCTCTTAAATTCTCTCTCAGGAGCCTCAACTCAGAATGTATTCAATTTTGACAGTCATTTTGAAAGAAGATACCATTAAAACATATTAGCCCTTATTTCCAGAAAAGGAAACACCATGGGCCATATTACCTTTGCCCATTTGGGAGCACAGCTAATTTAGCCTGACTCTCTGCTACACTGAGCCTGCCTAAGCCAGGTACAACTCACCTGGATATGTAAAGTTGGATCAAGTATGAAAGAGAAGACTAGTTGAGCCTTTGGACAGTTAGGTTCTGAGATTAAAACTAATCAAATATTCAAGAAGGCTGGAAAACTATCACATTAGTAAAATATGTAGATTAGTGAACAATCCTCATCAGAATGGAATTAAACAGCATTCCAATGAAATTACTTGTTCTGAAAACAATTGAATGCTAGAAGCTTCAGAATCAACAAGTAATTTTAATATCACCTACCCTACTTGCCAGTTAAATCCCAACTCCCTCAGGTGGTCCATCTTTCATGGTCAGGCTTACAAGAAATAAAGATTTTTTCAGGTCAAAGTGTCAACCTATCACCCCCAAAATAAAAAGTAAAACACACTCCCTAATTAATGAATTATCTCATGTCACCATTTGAGAAACTATAATTATTAAAGAATAAGTTAAAGAAAAAGTTAGAATAAGTTAACCTTAGATAAATTCAACTAAGCCATCTTCCCATATTACACCCCAGAGATGCTATGAGGCAACAGAAGAGATTAGCAGTTCCATATAATATGACATTAGGCAACCAAGAGTTCCTACCTGAGATTAAGAACTTCCAGGTATTTGAGTTGATCAGCAATAGCTATGACTTCATCCCATGATGACAGCAGGTTTTTTGACAAATCTGCCTTTCTAATATCTAAACACACATGTTAAGAAACAGTAATATAGAAAGATTGATAAAACACATAACAGTAGTTACCTCAATTCTGAAGCATGGGAATCTTTTAAGTTTTCACTTTACACCATTTACTATGCTTGAGATTTTTCCATGAGCACATACTACTTTTACCTTTTTAAATCATCTAACTGCTCATGTACAAACTAAAAAGTTCATTGTCATACACTGCAAACTTGAGGCAAACATCTACAATCAAGTGAATTAGAACCACCATGGTACTAAGCCATTTTAGCATTACCCAACAAAAAGAGACAGAAAAACAGTGATGGAAATTTTGATGAAGCACCTACAGTGTACCGCAGCCTTGCCCTTGGCACTGTTCAGCAGTCGCTGCCCACACCAAGAACATGTGCCCTCTCCTGTGGAGCCCCACTGCACCCTGCATGCTGCGCCGCAGCAGCCCCAGGTCACCAGTGGCCTCTCATGGCCTCTCCAGGGAGATAGCAGGGGTTAGCTCGGACAAATGCTCTACAGTGCCAAGAAAGCTTTGGGACTTCAGAGGCTCTCTTGTAACTGGGATGCACTGAGTATGACACCCACCATCCCTGGTACAGGAATTCAGAGAAGGGTAAACCAAGAGGACAGAAAGAAAGGGGCACTTGAGCTGAATACAAGAAGAGACACAGCTTAGCAAAGCCCCTGGGCAGAGAGACGGAAGAGAAGCTTGGAACAGGAATGGATCAGCTAAAGGAGAATCTTACACACTACTCTGATATGTATAGAAATTATCCAATTCATTTATCTCTTCCACAATTACTGGGAGCCAGGAGTAAAACTGAACACAAAGGTCTCAGTAGGGGAGACAATAAGCATGTGCGGCTATATTGTGCCAGATGCAGACATGTGTTTGGAGTAACAGCATGGCATTCAGGAGAAGGGGTGTGGGGTAACAACACACAGTGCTCATGGAAGACCTCCTCTATGAAGGTGACTTTGGGGCAGAGAACCAAATGAAATGAAGGAATGCCATCTTGGAAAAGAGCACTGGGGCAGAGGGTGTGACACATGCAAAGGCCCTAAGGTTTGAACAGGTCTGGCTTATGACAGGGACAGCAAGCCCCAGTGTGCCTGCGGCAGAGAGAGCAGGAGGTTCTGGAACTGAGGTCACAAAGTACACAGGGGCCAGGCCAGATCACAAAGGGACTCGCAGGCTGTTACAGAGTCTTTGCTAGTTTCTGCCTGAAATGGAAGCTACTGAGGACTTTGAAGTCCAGCAGTGTGACCTTAGTGTTTAATCAAAAGGTCATTATGCTATTGTGTTAAGCAATAAACTGCAGGGAAATAGACCTGAATGAGGATTCAGGAGGTGCCAGTTGACAATCTAGGCTTGGGCCAGACTAGGAGCCCTCATGGGATGGGAAACGTCAGATTCGAAGTCCCAATTGCAAAGCCAAGCCGAGAAGATTCCCAGGGGGATTTACAGATGTGAGAAAAAGGGGAAGTGGAGGATAACTCCAAGGTTCTGGCCTGTGCCACTGCGACTGCAACTACGGAGACAGGAGAGATCACAGGATAAGCAGGTTTGAAGAGACTGGGAGTTCCAAATTTGTTACATTTGAGACGCCCATGGACAACCAAACAGAAGCATCGAGATACCCTGGAAGGGGAGCGCTCTGGCCGAGACTCAGGTGGAGCAGCTCAGCACTGCAGGGCTTTCCCACCGACGAGCGCCTGGGCACTCCCAATGCTGCAGGAGGCTGAGGAGGTGTGAGAGCAAGGGAAAGAGCCTCGATCCAGCAGTAACGGCGAAACCACCGCTGTCTCCGGCCTGATGCTAGGTGCAGGACACGCTACTCTTGGAAGACACCCAGATGCCGAGCAGTTGTAACCGTGGGGCCTTGTTCAGGGGAACAAGTGTGCATTCAATCCCAAATCTGCCTCAATCCAAAATCCATCATCTTGTACCCACAACACAACACGGAACCTATTTAAGATAAACACTGAGAAAACAGCTTTGTATAAAAATACGGCCATCAGTCCATAGGACTGATTGTAAAGCAACACTATTAAGCAGGCACCAATTAGGAAGCTACAGAGGGCGACCAGGAGGGAGGGAACAGGGGGTGGGAACGCGCAGCAACGGATGGCTCTCAGGGCGGCGAAGAGGATGGAGGGCTAGGAAGGCTGTCACGTTATTCAGAGGTTAGGCCTTTGGTGGTAATGTCTCTACATAATATCCCTAGTTCAGTTACTGGCCACGGGCCTAAAGTATTTATTCTCTGGCTCTTTTAGGAAGCTTGCCAACACCTGACCTGAAGATTTTAGCACACAGATGGCAGTGAGTTGAAAATAATGCCATCAGGCAGGCTGTGATCACACAGTAAACAGGCTGTGCACCGTAAACCAGCTCCGCACAGGCGCAGCAGTAAGCAGAGGCCCATGCGCACGCGCGCCGGGTAGCTCCCAGGGCCGCGCAGTCCTTGTTCCTCAGACACCCGCCCGTCCTCAGAGCAGCAACCAGGGTGGACGAGCTCAGCCTGCTGAGTCAGGGGGCTCCAAGGTGAGCACCCCTAAACTGCAGGGAACACCCCAGCCAATACTTCAACCTCAGGCAGGAACTCAGGAACCACCACACGTTCATCACTGTGTCTGCAAGTATCAACCATGGCTTGATTACCTCACGTTTGAAACCGCATTTCTTGTGGATGTTTTCCTCCAGGAAAGAGCAGTATAAACAAGCACGATGTGACGCTCCGAGACACTGCCAACAATCCAGTCAACCACCCTGCATTCTCAAACCCCTCCACTGCCCAGGTAGGTCTTTTCTGACATGTGGAAAAGAAGCCTTGAGCCACCCAATTACCATTCTCATGAAATCGTTTAGGAATTGGCCCAGCGGATCACAGGAGGCTTTGTGGCATTCGGCTCCCTACCAAACCTGGTTCCACGTCCACTCCAAGCCCCCAAGGCTGAGAGGAGGACACCTCAGACACACTGGGTGAGGAGCTCTGCTCTCATTTCTGTCACCACGTAGTACGTAGAGCTGCTAGTTAGGACTACTTCGCTAAAAAGCTACTCAACTGCCATCTCTTCACTCACAGCAAAGTGCTGATAAGCCACTATCTTTTGCATAAGTTATTATGAGAGACTAGGCAGATGTAAAGAGTTGGGAGAAGACCTTTTAAATTTGGAGAAACTCTATTTGACCTGCCATTAGGATTTTTTTTTTTAAACTTACCTCCTATATTTTTGGTTGTGGGCATAGAAGCACTATATGACCAAAAAAAACCAACAACTTACAAGAAGGTAGACAAAAGAGAGTACACACACTGGACGACGTTCTTCACACAAGAGGGCTGCAGAGCCCTGGGCATCCTGTCTGGGCTCGGACAGGGAAGGGGGTAAAGGCAAAGGGCGTAGGCAGAACAGCCCTGACTGTCCTTTTTCAGGAGCCCCCTTCAGAAGCCTCACTGCCTCACCCGAAAGCAAAGGGCCCTGCAAAAGTAAATAATCCATCTGGGTGGAGTCAGCCCAGGTGAGACTGACCTGCTGTGAGGAAGCGGACTGGGGAGAGCAGTCACTGGGAAGGCAACTAGTGTCATGTGGCGGAAGCATCAAATCCAAAGTCAGGTCCCAGTGACCAGTTACCACTGAAAAAGGATACTAGGGCATGTTTTGGCAATTCCTCCTTTGTCACCAGCACAGTTTACTGTACAGTTCCTCAAAGAAATTTCTTGCAAATTGCTCAGCTGACTGCATGAAAAACACAGTTCACATGTACAGATAAACATGTATGCTATCCTTTAACCCTTTAAAAATAAAAGCATCTCAGACATACAAAAAGGACCAAAAATGACAAATAACAGTACCCACGATCCAACTTAATAAAGCATTACCAAAAAGAAAAGAAAGCATCACAAACATTACAAATATAATCAAAGCCCTTTGTGTCCCTTTCCATGATACATCCCCCTTCTCCTGCACTCCCTGTGGGAAACCAGTTACTACATGTGGTATTTATTTAACCTTAAGCATTCATTAATAGTTCTATTTATTTCCATATCCCTAAACAATTACAGTATCTTTGTGTATTATGAAACTTGATATAAAGGGTATCCTACCATATATGTCCTCCTTCAACTTCTCAACAGTGTTTTGTCAGTAGTGAGATTCAGCTGTACCAACACACATACTCTAGAACATTCATTTTCACCTCTTACTAGTTTTTTACTATATGAACAGACTACAGTTCATTTATTTGCTCCTGCTGACATTTAGATTATTTCCAACAGTGCTTGAAGTAAACACTACTGTGTACTTCTTGGACTCACATGTCAGTCTATCTAGGGATACATCCTAAAGAGCATGTCTATCTTCAGCTTTACCAGATACTCTCAGAAGCCACTTTTTAAGGGTGGAGAATCTATGTTTTCTATCCATTAAAAGAACCCATGTATAAATAGTACTTAAGAGTGTCTAAAACACACAACATGCAGTCAGACTGCTGAGTTCAAATCCCAACTCCACCATCTCCTTTGGCCTCAGATGAGTTACCATCTCTGAGCCTCATATTCCACATTTATAAAGTGCTATGACATATACCCATGTTCACAGCAGCAATACTCACCATAGACAAAGGGTGGGAGCAACCCAGTGTCCATCGACACTGAATAGTCAAGCAAAGTGAGGCATAACCACACAGTGGAATATGATTCAGCCTTAAAAAGGAAGGAAATTCTGACACCCGCTATGATGTGGGTGAACTGTGAGGACACTGTGCTGAGTGAAATAAGCCAGACACAAAAGGGCAAATACTGTATGAGTCCATTTATATGTGGTCCCCAGAGGGATCACCTTCATAGGCACAAAACGTACAAGGGTAGGTGCCATAGGCTGAGGAGAGGGACATGAGGAGCTGTTTAATGGGGACAGAGCTTCAGTTTGGGAAGATGTAAAGGTTCTAGAGATCAGCGGTGATGATGGTTGCCCAACAACATGAATGAATACCACTGAACTAGACACTTAAAAATGGTTACAATGGCAAGTTTGTATACTTTACAATTTTTTAAATGCTATAATTTAGTGTGAAATTCTCAAAATACCACCTTATGTACACTAAGTTATTTTATAATCACTTATAAAATAAAAATAAAACTGACAACCTTTGAGGTAAATGCTAAGATCAAAATGTAAGGCATGAGCTTTTATAATCATTGAAAATGAAGAAAAAGACAACTGCCAAGTTCTAGGGCAAAGGCTCCCAAATTTTCTCAGTTCATGGAGCCCCTGGCATTTCAGTAATTTTCTCATGGTGCCATTAGGCCAAAATAAATACCTCACAGTTCCATTTGGTAAGTAGTTTGGGCCAAACAACTTCATAATTATTTATGCCCTATCAACTTATATCTGTTAGGCACTGCCTACCTCCCCTAGCCCAGAAAACAGACTGGATATCACCACGTCCATTTCATGTTTGCTGATGATTTTTCAAGAGATACTTGTTTTTTATCACAGCAATTGCTAACAACACAGTTCTACAGGGATGTGACATGGCCTAAAGTATTTATTCTCTGGCTCTTTTAGGAAGCTTGCCAACACCTGACCTGAAGATTTTAGCACACAGATGGCAGTGAGTTGAAAATAATGCCATCAGGCAGGCTGTGATCACACAGTAAACAGGCTGTGCACCGTAAACCAGCTCCGCACAGGCGCAGCAGTAAGCAGAGGCCCATGCGCACGCGCGCCGGGTAGCTCCCAGGGCCGCGCAGTCCTTGTTCCTCAGACACCCGCCCGTCCTCAGAGCAGCAACCAGGGTGGACGAGCTCAGCCTGCTGAGTCAGGGGGCTCCAAGGTGAGCACCCCTAAACTGCAGGGAACACCCCAGCCAATACTTCAACCTCAGGCAGGAACTCAGGAACCACCACACGTTCATCACTGTGTCTGCAAGTATCAACCATGGCTTGATTACCTCACGTTTGAAACCGCATTTCTTGTGGATGTTTTCCTCCAGGAAAGAGCAGTATAAACAAGCACGATGTGACGCTCCGAGACACTGCCAACAATCCAGTCAACCACCCTGCATTCTCAAACCCCTCCACTGCCCAGGTAGGTCTTTTCTGACATGTGGAAAAGAAGCCTTGAGCCACCCAATTACCATTCTCATGAAATCGTTTAGGAATTGGCCCAGCGGATCACAGGAGGCTTTGTGGCATTCGGCTCCCTACCAAACCTGGTTCCACGTCCACTCCAAGCCCCCAAGGCTGAGAGGAGGACACCTCAGACACACTGGGTGAGGAGCTCTGCTCTCATTTCTGTCACCACGTAGTACGTAGAGCTGCTAGTTAGGACTACTTCGCTAAAAAGCTACTCAACTGCCATCTCTTCACTCACAGCAAAGTGCTGATAAGCCACTATCTTTTGCATAAGTTATTATGAGAGACTAGGCAGATGTAAAGAGTTGGGAGAAGACCTTTTAAATTTGGAGAAACTCTATTTGACCTGCCATTAGGATTTTTTTTTTTAAACTTACCTCCTATATTTTTGGTTGTGGGCATAGAAGCACTATATGACCAAAAAAAACCAACAACTTACAAGAAGGTAGACAAAAGAGAGTACACACACTGGACGACGTTCTTCACACAAGAGGGCTGCAGAGCCCTGGGCATCCTGTCTGGGCTCGGACAGGGAAGGGGGTAAAGGCAAAGGGCGTAGGCAGAACAGCCCTGACTGTCCTTTTTCAGGAGCCCCCTTCAGAAGCCTCACTGCCTCACCCGAAAGCAAAGGGCCCTGCAAAAGTAAATAATCCATCTGGGTGGAGTCAGCCCAGGTGAGACTGACCTGCTGTGAGGAAGCGGACTGGGGAGAGCAGTCACTGGGAAGGCAACTAGTGTCATGTGGCGGAAGCATCAAATCCAAAGTCAGGTCCCAGTGACCAGTTACCACTGAAAAAGGATACTAGGGCATGTTTTGGCAATTCCTCCTTTGTCACCAGCACAGTTTACTGTACAGTTCCTCAAAGAAATTTCTTGCAAATTGCTCAGCTGACTGCATGAAAAACACAGTTCACATGTACAGATAAACATGTATGCTATCCTTTAACCCTTTAAAAATAAAAGCATCTCAGACATACAAAAAGGACCAAAAATGACAAATAACAGTACCCACGATCCAACTTAATAAAGCATTACCAAAAAGAAAAGAAAGCATCACAAACATTACAAATATAATCAAAGCCCTTTGTGTCCCTTTCCATGATACATCCCCCTTCTCCTGCACTCCCTGTGGGAAACCAGTTACTACATGTGGTATTTATTTAACCTTAAGCATTCATTAATAGTTCTATTTATTTCCATATCCCTAAACAATTACAGTATCTTTGTGTATTATGAAACTTGATATAAAGGGTATCCTACCATATATGTCCTCCTTCAACTTCTCAACAGTGTTTTGTCAGTAGTGAGATTCAGCTGTACCAACACACATACTCTAGAACATTCATTTTCACCTCTTACTAGTTTTTTACTATATGAACAGACTACAGTTCATTTATTTGCTCCTGCTGACATTTAGATTATTTCCAACAGTGCTTGAAGTAAACACTACTGTGTACTTCTTGGACTCACATGTCAGTCTATCTAGGGATACATCCTAAAGAGCATGTCTATCTTCAGCTTTACCAGATACTCTCAGAAGCCACTTTTTAAGGGTGGAGAATCTATGTTTTCTATCCATTAAAAGAACCCATGTATAAATAGTACTTAAGAGTGTCTAAAACACACAACATGCAGTCAGACTGCTGAGTTCAAATCCCAACTCCACCATCTCCTTTGGCCTCAGATGAGTTACCATCTCTGAGCCTCATATTCCACATTTATAAAGTGCTATGACATATACCCATGTTCACAGCAGCAATACTCACCATAGACAAAGGGTGGGAGCAACCCAGTGTCCATCGACACTGAATAGTCAAGCAAAGTGAGGCATAACCACACAGTGGAATATGATTCAGCCTTAAAAAGGAAGGAAATTCTGACACCCGCTATGATGTGGGTGAACTGTGAGGACACTGTGCTGAGTGAAATAAGCCAGACACAAAAGGGCAAATACTGTATGAGTCCATTTATATGTGGTCCCCAGAGGGATCACCTTCATAGGCACAAAACGTACAAGGGTAGGTGCCATAGGCTGAGGAGAGGGACATGAGGAGCTGTTTAATGGGGACAGAGCTTCAGTTTGGGAAGATGTAAAGGTTCTAGAGATCAGCGGTGATGATGGTTGCCCAACAACATGAATGAATACCACTGAACTAGACACTTAAAAATGGTTACAATGGCAAGTTTGTATACTTTACAATTTTTTAAATGCTATAATTTAGTGTGAAATTCTCAAAATACCACCTTATGTACACTAAGTTATTTTATAATCACTTATAAAATAAAAATAAAACTGACAACCTTTGAGGTAAATGCTAAGATCAAAATGTAAGGCATGAGCTTTTATAATCATTGAAAATGAAGAAAAAGACAACTGCCAAGTTCTAGGGCAAAGGCTCCCAAATTTTCTCAGTTCATGGAGCCCCTGGCATTTCAGTAATTTTCTCATGGTGCCATTAGGCCAAAATAAATACCTCACAGTTCCATTTGGTAAGTAGTTTGGGCCAAACAACTTCATAATTATTTATGCCCTATCAACTTATATCTGTTAGGCACTGCCTACCTCCCCTAGCCCAGAAAACAGACTGGATATCACCACGTCCATTTCATGTTTGCTGATGATTTTTCAAGAGATACTTGTTTTTTATCACAGCAATTGCTAACAACACAGTTCTACAGGGATGTGACATCATTGAAAGGAACTGCAGGAATAATTTGAGACTGGTATCATGAAACTCACACTAGTAGTTTTCACCCTATCTGGATAGATGTTGCTGTTTCACTCTAACATTGACAATCTCCTGCTGTGCCCCCTGAGCTCCCTGTAGTGCAGAGGAAACCTTGGTACACAGCTTAGGGGCCCAGGTCTCAATACAGACATCACTTCAGAGCTAAAGGTATCTCTGAAATCATACATAATGGGTTTCATTGGTTTTTGACTCCTTTATTGTAAGTCTGAGTGCTACAAAGTCAAAGCGGGTCAGCTGGATATTATTAAGGAGACAATATAATGGCTTCAAGGAGTGGTTTCCATCTCTAAAAATGATGACTACCACTCACTGCATCATCTCACCTGTCATTCACAACAGCTCTAACAGCAGAGGCTGAGAAATGAAGCAACTAGGCTCTAAGAGCTAGAAAGTGGCTTAGCTGACATCTGCGCCCAGTCTGCCTCCAACATCAGGGCTGGTCCAAGAAAGATACTAGCTAATTATTGAATGCAATGATATTCCAGTGGTGGGGTTACTCACCAAAAAGTTCATAAGATATAGTTGTTCATAAACTAGGGGAGGAAAAGCTGTTGAATTTGTTAACATTCACAGAGCCCATGGTCTTCTCTGAAAGAGATCAGCCAGTAAAAAAAAAAGTGCCTCTTTTAGAGTAAAATATTTAAAATATTTTCATTTTAACTGGAAAAACGTAAGCAAAGAACTGTAAATAACCCCATGAAACATACACACGGTTCTTTAAATGCATATAAATCAGGACAAATGGCAAAAACATTCATGAACATTATCTCTCGGTGGTGGCGTTAGTTGTGAGTTTTTCTTCAATTTATATTTTCTAAAGTCATAACAATAAATGTATATTATTTTGTAATTAATAGTCAAGTTGCTGTTTTTAAAAAATCTTGATTTATTATGAGGTTTTTAAAAAATTACTGGTCATCTCAGGCACAGTCGCAGGGGGGCCATCAGGTGAGAATTTGGGGATCAACAGAGGTGAGGCTCAGAACCTCACCCCCCCTGCTTTGAGAGAAATCTTCTGCATCCGTGGATGTCTTTTTCATATTTGACCTGATTGTTTATAGTTCATAATGTGTGATCAAAACCGAATGTTTCTGTGATGAATGCCCTTGTACTGTTCACCATGTAAGAATTTATTCACTATGTAAGAATTCGTTCACCATATAAGAACTTGTTCGTTATGCTTCAGAAGATTGGAGACTGACGAGAATTAGGCTTGAGATGGATTAATGATTGTATATTGAGCATTGCCCCCCCTATACTGAATTTTATTGTTGTTAACAACCATTTGATCAATAAATATGAGAGATGCCCTCTCAAAGAAAAAAAAAATTACTGGTCATCTATATTAAAAGGCAGAGATATTTATTCTTCCACAGTCACCATGTGCACTTTAAATTTAGTATTATGTTAAAATCTTACTAATAAAAACAGCAGCAGCAAAAAAAAAAAAGAAAGAAAGAAAGAAATTTACTTTGAACAAAACCCTAGTTTAATCTTACTTTAGACGGAAAGATTGCAGGCGTATGCCAAGTGGCTGCAAAGCTACTCTCCACAGTGGCCACCAGGGGTCACTTCGAGGATGCCTCCTTAGAGTCAGGGTCAAACATCTCCGCAGTGCCCTCACTAAACCTGGGTAACCTGAAGGTTCTTGTGCAGTTGTGGGTGTTTTGTGTGGATGTCACTTTCCTCTCTCTCTGATTCAGACAGTTCATCAGAATGAGCAGTGCCTTCACACAGAATCATTGTGTACAGGGAGTTTCAGTGAACAGAGAATGTTCAGACTCAAGTTTTTAAATGCATTATTTAGTGCCCTTCAGACTGCTACATGATAATTTGGGGTACTTCTTTAAAGTAAGAGACCACCGTCATTCTAATTCAATAGGTCTGGAGTGGTACCCAGAATTTTACAGCTTCAAAAGCACTCCTAGGTGACCAGCAGGTGCAACCAGAGTTGGGAACTACTCAGTACAAGATGGTACCAGCATGCTACATGGCACAGGTAACAATCTAGACTTCTGTTCCCACTTTTGACTTACCATCCATCTAGGAATGTCACCATAAAATAGAAAAGGGCCAAAATGTCAACCTTAGGTGAAGGAAATTAAGAGACACAAACTCCAGTTATAAAATAAGTAAGTTCTAGAGATGAAAAGTACAACATAAAGAACATGTCAATAATATCGTGACGACTCTGTATGGTGAGAGATGGTAACACACTAACTGTAGTAACATTTCATAATGTATTGTAATTGTCAAATCAATGCTGAACAAGTGAAACTAATATAATGATATGTAAACTATACTCCCGCTAAAAAGGGTTAAAAAAAAGGCAACCTTAGTTACTTAATAACTAATCAATACAAGATAGTATTGTGTAAATATTAGTAACAGGCAAATAAATGTTTTACTTCCAATCAAGGAAAGTCCAACGACTGTGTTAAAATAAGAATTTTAATTTCCCTGAACATTCAATCCTCACACTCTTACAATTTGCAGTTTGTACAGAATGAATAGACCAGTTTGGGGGCAAAGTTCTGAGCATCAACAGAGAGTCAGATGAACTTTTAAACCCTGAATGCTGATGAAACTGTGAAAGTCAGCTTTCCATTATCAACTCCACTTACCTTTGCTGTCTTATAATAGAGTCAAAACCAATAGTTTCCACAGGCTTATTTCCAATTGTAACAATTTGCTCTTTTTCATCTTCTGGTCCATCTCCTAAAACATAGCGTTTCTTAATTGCAGTAAGAAAGTCTACTCCAAAATTTACTTTGTTGGGACGAATAAAGGATCCTCCTGTTGGGTGCCTGTTAAAAAAGGACAGAAATGGAACATGGAAAATATCCATGGGGACATTTAAATACAATGACATGCAAACAGCCTTTATAAACTGTCTGCCACATACACAAAATACCTGCATTTACAAATTTGTTTACAAATATCTTGGCAAATAAAAGCATTATACAAGTAAAAAAAAAAAAAAAGACAGAAAAATTAACATCCACCAAGAATGGCCATAAGCGCAATATTCTGAAGGTTTTCAAAATTTTCTGTATGCCAAAAAATCAAAATCAGCATAAAATGGAAAATAATATACTAATAAAACATAATCAATATGATCGAGGGTCATGAGCTTAGCATGTAAAATCCCAATAGATAAACAGAGAAGAAATGTGGAACAGATCATTCTTATAAGAGGAAAGGGAAGTATTAAATCCATGGGGGAAAGTTTTACCTTGCTAATGTTAAGAAAAACAAATTCAACACAGTTAATGATTCTGTAACATCTTACTACATGATAGTGTCTGCACTGGAGGGGATGATGACTTGATAATATGGGTAACTGCTGAACCACTGTGTTGTGTATTTGAAACCAACATAAGATTGTATATCGATGCTATTCTAATAAAAAAAATTTTTAATGCAAATTCAAATAATGAAATTCTTTTCAATAAAACTGGCATAAAAACAAAGAAAAATCATAAGGCCTCAGAAACTGCAAGATTAGATTTGTTTTTGATTGTATAATCATACTCCTGGAAATTTGTCAGCAGGAAATAATATAAAAACAAAATAGCATTTACAAATACTCAGTATAATGGTACTTATTTGTTATTGAGGAACCCTGGAAATCATAAAAATACCCAATGAGATAGGAACTATTAAATAACCAGACAGATACAGTTATGAAAAAATTCTAGTTGTAATATTTAATAAAGTAACTCCCAAAATAATGCTAAGATTTCAAAAAACAACCAAATTGCACATGATACAACTATAGGGGAATCATACCTACACACAAACATTGGCTAAGGACATGAAAATATGTGTAATAAAATTATGTACAAAATCTTTTAAATGAGAAATTAAATTTGAACTGAATACATCTTAGAAGCTTAAATATGGGGCTAAAATAGAACATATGGGAAGAATTTTACAGAAATATAAGATATTTTACCACAATTCATATTCAGGTTTTATAGCAATTTTTAGTAAAATTCAGTAGCAGGATATAACAGAAATATGAATCACAGCACTGTGTGTAACAGCCATGGCCACGCTTTCCAATAGGCTCCCACTGGGTCTGCACACCCATCACATGTCAGAGTTCAGCATGGCAGTGGTGCCTCACTGTTAGGGCCATCTAAGCATGCCCTATAAAACACTATCAATGTCAACACTACCATCAGATAATTTGAGAGAATGATGAAATACATGAATTGTCAAAAACTCATTATAAACACTGTTTGAACTGAATACATTTAATTCTGAAAGAAATTGAAACTTCTTAGAATTTATCGTAAGTTAAAAGGATGAATACAAATACTGATGATACATGTCAATATAAAAATATCTACACTTTTCCTGGGAAGTGGATCCATAGAGATTACTGGATTGTGACAGAAACTTGTGACCCCTGCAACTTAGGAGTCATGCCACACAAAAGAAGTGGTCATTAGAACCCAAAGAATGGGGTGTCCCAGGAGCCAGGTGCTGCAAATGGTGACAGCAGAGGCCACCACTGAATCTAGCAACCAGAAGGGAACCCAGGGGCAGTTGGGCGCCCAGCGAGGAAGAAGCCTGATGGCGTAAGTTCCAGAGTGAGCTCTCGTCCCAAGGAGTTTTATTGGGAAGGGATAAGAGAACAGGGACAACAGTTGACAGAAGACCAGGGACCCAAAGTACGAATGTTTTAAGATGGGAGACAGTATCAAATTTATATGTTGATGAAAATAATCCAATGGAGAAGGGAAAATTGATGACACAGGAAATTAAATTCTGTGTCACAGCAAAATCAGGTTCTGAGTTTGTATAGTACATTGTGATATCTAAGGATCTCCAACTACCAGAAGCTTCCTTGAAAATATTACATTTGAACCCTAGGAAAGCTCATATTGTAAAGAGCACACTTCTCCTTTAACACACACAATTATATCACTCCAATAAAGGGATTAAATATAGTTAGCATCATTTTTAAGAGTTCCAAGGGGGATCTACCTAAGGGATTATCTAGTCTAGAACTTCTCAAACTTAACTTAAAAAGCTTGGTACCTGGAAAGCTTATTGGATTCCCCACTACCCATCCCGAGATGCTCACTCACTGAGGCCTGGGCCCAGGAACCTGCTTGTTAGAAACAATGCTCAATGGGATTCTGATGTAGGCAGGCCTCAGGTCCTGCTCCAAGAACTCTGCTCTAGTCTAACCCTGTGTCAGCTGGGGATACTGGGGTCTGCTGCTACACAGGCATCACTACCAAGACCAACAACACCAGTGCACTATCCTTGTCCTGGCTCATAGATGGAAAGCAATGGCTTATTTGGGTAAATTTAATACATTCCTTATATTAAAATCCTACTTAACATACATGTTCCTAAGATGGGAGCAGGGAATAGAATGGGAATGGGGGAAGCAGCTGCTCTGGCTTCATTACTTAACCAGCTATGTGACTGCAAGCAACTGAATTTACATTCTCAAAGTCTCCTCATCTATAAAGCCTTAATTAACAATCGAGGTGATTTATAAGGATCAAATAAATCATAATATATAAACTACCACTATATTGCCTGGTATAAGATATGTCTCCTTTACATGTATCTGTCTTGTCAAGGGTTTCATCCCCAGGCAAGTTCACTATGGATTCAGTGTGACCAAAGAACATGACAGTAGAATGTTCTTAGGGTGAAAGGGTTATACCCAACTTTATTTTCACGGAGTCAGGTCAATCCCTAAAACCCCATCCACACAGAGTGAGTCTGCACCCAGCAAGCTGGTCTCTGCCTCTGGGCCTCTGTTCTCGGCGCTGCCACAAATCCAGCCTCTGCTCTGCTCTCCTGCAGCCTTGCAGCCATGCCACCGTGTCATCCAGAGCACTGGGCAAGGCTCTTTATCTAGAGTCAACAACGACACATTGCCCACACCTGTGCAATGAGCCAGTCAACCAGGGCCAGGTGAGAATCCTGGCCACAGAACTTTCATTTTATCCACACTCCATCCCTCCAGGATTCTCTCTTCTCAATCTATGTGCCCTCAATCCTCTGCAATGGTCCCTGTGCAAGAAAGCTTGAGCACTGTAAACAAATTCCATAATAACAACAGAGGCTATGACAATATACAAATAACAAAAATTATAATAACCCTCAAGCCGGAGGAGATCCACTGCCACCAAGTGGTCATCCTGGCTGTATTCAAATTAGTCCTACTCAAATGACTTAACCAAAAGGACCATGGGTGGGCCTACAATACCCACCTTCTCCAGCAAAAAGTCTTGCAGGCACACATGCCGATCTTATTGCTTTATCTCTGCCTTCTGCTTCATCCTCAGCAGCTAGAACTGCCACTCTGCTCCCAATCGCTGCCACAGCTCCATTCCAATTTCTTTCTGTCTGCTCCTGCCTTCTTAAATCAACCCACATCTGGGTCCTCGTGACCAACACGGGGCCCTTTAAATTCTTCCTTTGAGAAACAGACCATATTTCCTTTTGTGCTGAAGCCTGAGGACAGAAGAAGAGCATGGAGTGCTCCTCAACCTGAAGAGGGGCCTGCACCACTCCTGAAAGAACCCACAGTTGCTGAGTCCTTCTGACTTTCCACCAGATTTTTGTTTTAAATTTTTTATTAAGGTATGATTGATATACACACTTATGAAGGTTTCACATGAAAAAACAATGTGGTTACTAAATTCACCCTTATTATCAAGTCCCCACCCATACCCCAGTGCAGTCACTGTCCATCAGTGCAGCAAGATGCCACAGATCCTGTGTGCCTTCTCTGTGCTACACAGTTCTCCTGATCCCCCACACCATGTGTACTAAACATAATACCACTCAATCCCCTTCTCCCTCCCTCCCTACCCACCCTCCCACACCCCTCCCCTTTGATAACCACTAGTTCATTATTAGAGTCTCTGAGTCTGCTGCTATTTTGTTCCTTCAGTTTTGCTTCATTGTTATACTCCACAAATGAGGGAAATCATTTGGCACTTACTCCGCCTGGCTTTTTTCACTGAGCATAATGTCCTCCAGCTCCATCCATGTTGTTGCAAATGGTAGGATTTGCTTCTTTCCTATGGCTGAATAGTATTCCATTGTGTATATGTACGTCTTCTTTATCCATTCATCTACTGATGGACACTTAGGTTGCTTCCATATCTTGGCTATTGTAAAAAGTCCTGTGATAAACATAGGGGTGCATATGTCTTTTTGAGTTTGAGAAGTTGTATTCTTTGGGTAAATTCCAAGAAGTGGGATTCCCGGGTCAAATGGTATTTCTATTTTTAGCTTTTTGAGGTACCTCCACATTGCTTTCCACAAGGTTGAACTAGTTTACATACCAACCAGCAGTGTAGGAGGGTTCCCCTTTCTCCACATCCTCACCAGCATTTGTTGTTCTTATTTTGGATGGTGGTGATCCTTACTGGTGTGAGGTGATATCTCATTGTAGTTTTTACTTGCATTTCCCTGATGATTAGTGATGAGGAGCATCTTTTCATGTGTCTGTTGGCCATCTGAATTTCTTCTTTGGAGAACTGTCTCTTCATATCCTCTGCCCATTTGTTAATTGGTTTATTTGCTATTTGGGTGTTGAGGAGTGTAAGTTCTTTATACATTTTGGATGTTAATCCCTTGTCGGATATGTAACTTACAAATATATTCTCCCACACTGTAGGATGCCTTTTTGTTCTGTTGATGGTGTCCTTTGTCAAACAGAAACTTTTGAGTTTGATGTAGTCCCATGAGTTCATTTTTGCTTTTGTTTCCCTTGCTTGGGGAGATGTGTTCAGGAAGAAGTTGCTCGTGCTTATGTTCA